TTCTGTGCACCAGTAACAGTGACTGTAGTTTGTTAATACATGATTTATTAAGGGGGTTGAAGTTGTAGAAGAGATTGAAACACAAAAACAGGTTAACCATAAGATAAGATAAGAACTCTATAGACCCCCAAAGGGAAATTCTCGAAATAATAATAATAACAACAATAACAACAAGTTTATCTATGTAGCACCTTTCAAAAACAGCAAGGTCACAAAGAAGTGCTCTACAAAGACATAAGGATAGTTTAATTTATTCTGTGTGCCCAGCATGCATCATACAGTCATGGGCTTACAAGACACTTACTGTGCAGTAGTCAAACATTATATAATAAGAGGTGAGACAATAGCAATATGCTCAGACTTGTGATACTGTTAAAGAATGAGTCAGGCATTTTAGTTTTATGCTAATGACTCTCATTAAATTCATGGGGATGTTCTAATTTACTGAGATGAGATGAATAATTACTTTTTAGGTGCAATTTGTCAATTTGTGTTAGTTAGCTAAGCATTTTGATTGTTTTGTTATTTATCATTTACAGTGGAATCCTCATGTTGCCATCATTTTGGGGGTATATTGGATGTAGTTGTATCCATAGACTGTATATAGAATGGACGCCATCTGCCTCCTCGCTGGGTGAAGCCACTCCGAGAACAGCACCCTCTGGTGACGGGCTGCAGTATAGGTCATAAATCCCGCCTCCGCCAGCAAAGCTGGGGCTGTGGACAAACTTAAGAAATTTATCACACAGAATATAAACTTTTCTCCCCCCTGCTTGTGATGTTGACATGTAGTTACTGTAGGACTAGTTTGGGCTCAAGTCCTCTTTTTTTCTGTACAGCTCTGTTTTTGATAGTTATTAGGGGTTCATGTTTTCTTTGATTGACACTTAATACAGCCTATGGGCGTACAAGGATTGCGTAGGTCACCTGGGGGATACACTGTTTGAGCCGAGCGTCATCACAGCAACTCTCGGTGACTCTCCCGCTGAATGCGTACAATGTTACTGCACAAGTAGTGGAGTGTGTACAACGCTACTGTGCAATGTTGGTTTCAGGAAATGGAGAGAAAACACAGAATTACCGAGAGCTTTTCGGCTTCAAATCCATATATTGGTGGAAGGCGGAACCAAGTTGTCCATAATAATATATAGTCTATGGTCATATTGTATTGCACAAATCCAACCATATCGTATTCTATTTTGTTATATCAAACTGAATCATACCCAATTATAGCATACCAAACAACTTAGCATGGTAATTGTTTAAAACGGTAAAAATGTACTTTTTTATAAAAATAAGCACATTTTAAATTTGTTGTCGGCAACACTTTTCAAAAATGACAGGACAGAAACGGCTAAACACTGGTGAGGTTGTGTGATACAAAAGAGCACCTGGAGCTGTGATCTGAACCTAGCAGGCTAAGTCATGTGGTTGTCAGCACAAAATCTATGTCAAGCGGTGGGGATGGTTGTCTCTCTGCTTTGGGGTTTGTTGTCACATGCTCATCCAATTTAAGCTACTTGTTTGAAAAAGTTGGACATTATGTGGGCCACTGACCCAGGACACACACTTTCTTTTGCCAAACCTTTTCAAAATGACAGTCAGCATCACAACTATCAGTTAAAACGCCTCCCTTTTACTGAGTGTTTGCAACAGGAGTAACATGAGTGGGAATAAAAGGGTCATTCCAGACAAAGTCTCTTACAAGTTAACAATGACGAGGTTTTCTGTGAGGGACTGTGTGAGCCAATAGCTTATACAATTTAGGTTATTTTTCCTTAGTGTAAATTTGTACACTTTATAAAGGGCACAGCCACTGGATGGCGGTGATCTTCAGGCCCTTAGGCAGCACTACATTAGAAACTGACATGACTCTGTAGTGGGACTCACTGCATGGGCCTCAATAAAACTTGTGTCTGGGGACAAATTAAGTATTGAATCCTGAGTTAAAATGTACTGTTTGAAGAGGAAATCATCACTCAGATAGGACCTTGCTTAATTCAGTATGTGTTTCATTATTATATCATTATTTTAGGGCTCTTTTTAAGTAGAATAGTCTGTGTAATATACTAGCCTGTCTGCAGTTTTATCTTACATCCCAATGAAAACATGTGGCACATCATGGAACAATAAAATATGACTTGAGAGACCCTGAACTGTTGAGCAGCTGAAATTAGGTAGCAATGAGACATCATTTCACTCTTAAAAGTCCAGAAAATGGTCTCTTCAGTTCCCAAACATTTACAGTGTTGTTGAAGAGGAGGGTCATGTCACTGTTTTTTTAGAAACATGCTTCTGGCATCATATTTAAAACTAGCTTATATATTTTTCATAAAACAATTCAAAACTCCAGGTCCATCATTTCAGTAGATGTCTTTGCCCCACTTTCAAACAGGGCCCTGTTTTCATTTTTCACAGCGTCACTTCTTTTTATAGAATTGGGGTTGTATTAAATGTTGGACTTGATCGCGAGTTTCACTTTGATATATGAAATTTTAGAGCTACTGACAGCTAAACATGACAAGACAGTCTCAGGTGTTTTAAGTATCAATGCTATTTGCTGTGGTACTGTTACTGGAGGAGAGGCCTGCAGCAGAAGATGAATCATGACCCAGTGAAGCTAAGGAATCACTTAAGGTTTTAATTTCTGTGAAAGCAGCCAATCTGCTGGCTAAAGCAGTGTGCTGGTGGGCTCCATACTTTCCCAGCTTGGCAAATAAAAAGCTTAATGCGAGTCCTTTAAGAGCAAATTGGAATGCCTGTGAGTGTTGAGTGACCTGCAGAGGTCAGAGGCATCTGCTATATTTACCGCCTCTGTAACTTGATCTGTGGCATTCTGGATGGCTGTGCTCATACTATCCTCTCACACTCTGGGGCCACAGCCTCCCGTGTAGCACCCCATTGCTTTCAGTCTATTGGCCTGACCACTCAGAACAACCAGGGTGAGCCGTTTACCGATCCAACTTAACTGCCGCTCTTCCACCCTTCAGGTACCTGCTTGCGAACCAAGTGTGTACATCCGTTGCAGGCTGTTTGAGAAGGAGACAATGATAGAAGACAGGGGTAGCGTTTCAGACAGTTTGGGAATTTATCAGTAGGAGAACTGCAGACAAACTCACTGGGGTAGGAAATATCATCAGTTTATTTGTGTGATTTTGCATTCTGTAGTGATAATATCCTGGATATGTAGTTGATGGTTGTGATGGCAAAATGAGAGGTTTGAAACAGGTGCTGAAAGAGACACATAAAGAAGCTGTACATGGACTGCATGGATCAACTTTCTCTTCACCCCAGCTTTATATTCAAGCAACATTTCCAGATTTGATACGAGCTGAAGGATGCATCATCAAAGTTTTATGGCTGGACATGAAATCCAGAGAATGTGTTGACTGGGGGCCTCTGAGTTCACTTCACGCTGAATCTGACTGTCGTTAAGTGAAAACAGACCGAGAATACTTTAGCTATATTAGTTCCATTTTTATATCCACAAGTCCTGTGATATTTCTCATGCTTTAAACCTATAGTTGACAGCGGAAGACATAGTAACAATGTGATCAAGAATGCAGTAATTTAATGATTCTGCTTTAATGTTATGTCTTTTTTGTTGACCGGTATCTTATGTAACATTCCTGTGTGTATCCACAGGTTTGATCAGTGTCACAGAGCCTGTATGTGTGTGTGTGAGTACACTGTGGGGTAGCAACAGTAGGATGAGCTGCCCCAGAGCCACCGCAGTCTGCAGGGACTGACACACAACGCTCCAAATACAGCAGGTAACCTCCTCATGTTGTAAACTGTATATAAGCAGTTAATACAGCTAAAGTTTGTCAGAGGTAGGAGAACAGTATAGACTTTTTCAAACACCAGCTGAGCTTGATATTTTGTGTTGACACAGAGAGTCAGGCAGATCGCTAGACATCCTCAACATCAACATTGAAACAGGCTCAAAAAAGTAATCCTGGCTGATATCGATGTCCACTTTTCGTAACTTGTTCTAATTGTGAAAAATATGTCACCTGACCACATGGACATGGTCAGGTGTCAGTTAGGTGACAGGGTCACAGCCAGTTCAGTGTCAGAAAACCCTTTTACAAACAGCGCTGATGTTGCTGGTATGCAGAGTAACTGGTGTGCAAGCTTTGGCAGTCCAAGGAATTTTTCTGCATTGACTTCGTACCAGTTTGTTGACTTTGTATCCAAAATTGGAGTAATGGCCTGTCAAAAGTTCTCAACCTCTGTGCCTGTGTTGTTAGAGGTGGATGTTGTGTATCCCTTTTTCAAAAAAAGAAAAAGAAAATAAGATGGACAGCCCCTCGTTGAGAATCTTTGCTGTCCATATCTTTTTCAGCCAGTGGGTTTGTATTGAAAAATGTGGTAAAATGTGACCACCCTGTTTACTGAATTCCATGTGAGACTATGTGTTGTCCATCAGTACTGGATGAAAAAACTTAACCTTATTAGACACTAGCATACTGTGTTACTCCAGCCAAAGCACACATAAAGAAGATCTAACTGCTAGAACCGCACATAACACCCTTCCCGCTAACCATGACATACATTTAGATGATGGATAAACCATTGAAGATCCATCGTGTAGTTACAGTCCACAGCTGAGCGGATTCTTGTGTTGATTTGAAATAGTTTATGGCTATGGAAAGTTCAGTAACTCTTGAGTTGAGTGCCGTGTCCACTGAAGTGATTTTTTTTTCTGCTGATATTACCCATGACCTCAATTTCAGAGCCATTCTCGCTGGTGTTTTACTGTTGCCAGGTTATACAGGTTGTCCTGCCGCATTTCCACTTCCCTTAATAATGTCCAGGTGGCTGTTTCAATATGCTTTGTAAGCTTTGTTTAAGCTTTCATTTAATGGCCCCGCCCCCTACTTGTTTCTGATTGGTCATTGATTAAGAAGTGACATAGATGAGCGTGGCAGTGTTCAAAAAGTTGAACTTTTTGTCACTAAGATTACTGCAGAAGCATGAATTAGTTGAAGGAGCTGTCGTTTGGCTGATGGCCAATATATAATCAAGGTATCATGTTGTTGTTTTTTCAATATAATGATACTAACAAGTTAGAAACAGTACTGCTGAATTCAGGTAAATGTTTTATTGAATAAATAAAGATGAAAAATTTAGGCTCAGTAAAATATCTATGATACAGTTGTGACTTTGGGATTTCTGCCAAGCTATTTGAAATAAGTACGACAGAAAAAAAAAACAACAAAGATAATATTAACTGCATTATTTTAAACTCCTAGTCATCAAAATTTATACTGAATGCCAGTCAGTCTTGGATTTGATTTGCTGTTAAATACATTTTCACGTGGAAAGATAACAGTGATATCTGCCTGTGAGGACTGATGCCAATCTGACGATGATTATCAAAATACTGTGAAATGGCCTGAATAATATTAATTGGTCTATCTCTAATGAAAACTAACTAGAGGAATAGAAAACATACTCAAGCAAAATTCATCTATCAAATTAATTATTGGTTTGACCGTTTTCTTTGTCTGTTAACACGAGACAGTGGGGAGTGGGGTTTATTTCCTGTACTGCAGCCAGTCAGTAAGGGAGCTCTGTGGTCAATTTGTGACCACAAGATTCCAGACCATCGGTAGCTCAGGGCCTGTAGAAAATTAAAAAAATTCATTTCTAATGCATTTGAAATTTTACTCACAAACTTAAGTTGATGTATTTTTAATGATAAATTTTAAAAGTCATGTTTACTTATGGTCTGATATTGTGGGTTGGCATGTGTGCTGAAATGTACAATTAGCCACCAACAGGAACCTGTGATTTACCAACTGGCTGCTTTAACTCACTTTAGGTGTATTTGAAATATTTCTCTGCATCACTATTGGGGAGAGGCAGAGATTGAAAGCTGTTTCAAACAGTAATAGTACCTTATTGACCGAATGATTGGTTCAATGAATAAAGAATTGGGCCAGTCAGCTGCAGAGGCTACAGCATCAATCACTGCAGACGCTGTCCTCTCTGAGGTCACTGCTGCTTTACTTCCTCTCTTGTGAGTCACCCACAGATGGTAGTCATGATTAATGTTAATTAGCTGCTCCTTTTCAGGTGCCTTCATATCTCAGAAACATGGGGTAAAAAATGCAGTGTAAGCACTGCAAATTCATTTCATCTAGTAATCTTTTCGTATTGTCTCTGCTGTGTGCTGCTACACATCTACTATTGTGATAAAGGTGTAAAATGCCATTGAAACTGGAGGGCTGGAGAAGGTCCCTCTCCAGAATAGCCAATTGCAGTCGCAGAGTTTAGCCTTAATATCTAACAGCTTGGCAAGGAGTCACAGTGGGCAGAAAGGGAGGGCAGAGGCGTCAGTGTGGCCCTCACAGGCATCAGCAGTCTCTTATCTGCTCACATTTCAGGGTATATATAGCTGCATGAGAGACCACGCCAAACCCAGCACAGCTCACAGACCTCCTAATAGCCCCCATGTTGATTTCTGACTCAATTCCTTTTGAGAACAACATTGTGTCGACACCACCCTGCTGCTTGATTGTAACAGCTGTTTGGGGGTTGTATTGTGGAGAAGGATTAATGTGGATCATTAGTGAATGAATTCATGTAATTATATGAAGCAGGGGTTCTGTGTGCCCTCAAAGAGTCTGAAGATCTCTAAAATATTTGTTCTACAATCAAACAGTTTTTTAAGGGATGAAAAATGCTGACACAAATGTGTCATGTTGAGTTCAAAATAAGAGCATATCTTCTTAAACATGATCAGGGTTTCTCTCTGGTTCAACATGGGGCTTAGATGGTTGTGCATACCAGCATCCCTGCCCAACCAAACACTTATAGGTGACATGTTTTAGAAATGTTAAATAACCAGTGAAAGTGCAATCTCACTTCAGAGCCTCTTTCGTTAAGTAATTATTTAATACAATGCAACATAAAGGTAAAATTTGGTATGAAATGGTGATTTTTTTCATTTTTTAAAGAAACACTTGATTTTGATAAATGTCCAGAATTTCCTCACACATCAAAGTACACAGTTTTGAAGCTTTAAAATGTCATGCACATGTTAGTCTGCTGATGCTCATTAAACACAATGAGTTGTTCACCTCCTTTAATCCGAGTCACTAAAATGATGTTCCTCACACACCTGGGGTTTTGCAACATTATGGCGGAGGCACCACGTCTGACGACCATGAGGGTTGCTAAAATCGATGCAAACTTCTTTAGCTTGTCGTTGCCATCATAGTACTCTGTAAAAGGTCTCCTAAAGTATTGACCAGAACTTTTTGATACCTGCAGAAGCCCTGTTTTTTTCAGATTTTCTGTTTGACTGTATAACTCTCTGGATTGATACCATTGGTGTGTGCAGTCTAGGGGTCAAACTGTGAATTTCATTAAAGTGATGTGTGTAGAATACAGTAGCACAAAGAAGCAGAACAATCCTGGTGGAAGCTGAGTATGGTATTCATAATTATGTTTCAATCTGAATATATTGTTTTTGTTAACCTAGCAACCCCTATCCAGTATCTACACAGGCAGCTTCTAGCTTTGAAATAACCAAGCTCTTCAACTATTGCACACCAAACAACAGCCAGAAAGACTTAAAAACTGAAACAGTTATTAGCTCAAAAACCAGTGTAAACTCACTCTGAGGACAAGTATGAGAAAAAGTAAATTCATTCTGATTAGCAGTCAGAGCATTCCTCTGAAACCTGCACTGATTCAGCTGAGACTGATCTACCTGTTTACTATCAATCAGTACTTCTCACACACTCAGACACACCCACAGTTGCTCAAAACCACCAGAGAGCACCCGCAATGATGTTTCACTCACGCAGTGTCACCCCAGGTCACGTCTGTGGCGTCCTGCGTCATCAAACTCGCTCGCTCTCTCTCTCTGCACTAAAGATCAGCTCTGTTCTCTAACAGGCTCAGAGGAGACCTGGGAGGACAGCATGTACCAAAAGAGATTTGAACCACTGACTCATTAGAAAGATGGAACAACAAAACCCTTTCACCGAAGCTAAAATAACCCATCATCACCGGTACACATGACAAGAAAATCTTTTACAAGACATCCTTAGCCTTTTTTAGAGATCTGTGAGTCATAGTTGAGATGCATACATTTTTTTTAACACTTTGTTGTTTCAGATCCTTCAAAGTTAAATCTTATCTCCAGTGTTAGTGTATATCCTCAGATAAAGTCTGGTTTTTTTTCACTTTATGTCCAGGCCCCTTCTAAAATTGTAAAGCTCATGCACCTGTGCTTTACCTGTGTTAATGCTCCTCAGGTGAAGTTGTCCCTACAGTGTGTCTGAACTCCTAACACCGTGACATCTGCAAGTCTGTATAACTAGTGGAGACGGCAGTTGTTGAGACTCCAGCTTCTCCTTCTCTCTGTGCAAATGATTTGGACAAAGAGCTCAAATCATTCTGTATTGATAAAAATAAATCAATACAATAAACAAAAAACATAACAGGGACAGAACCATATCAGTACATAGGCACATAATGAATGAGCAGATCTAAAGTCACTCCTCCTCAGTGTACTACCAAAAAAGTTCCACTGTTCTACAACTTTTTTGACTATTGATTTGTTATTGATTCAGTGAAAAAATCCCTTAATAATCAGGAATATGTCAATGTGTTTCAGTACAGCCGAGTCTTCAACAGGATATGGTTTGGACCAGTGGTTCCAAATGTTTTTCTGCCGTTCCTCCTTCTGAGGATAAAAAAGTTCTGATAAATCTGTTTTGTCTGACCATATGTTCCTTACCCTTGAAGAGCACCTGTTTACTATAAAACTTTTGTACATTTTGCTTGACCCAGTGCAGCCCTCACCTTTTTCTTTCAACTTTATCCAAGAGCTGGTGGGAGGCATATGTTTGTAATGAATAGACTCATGAAAAATGTTCCCAACTGCATTAAAACAAAGACATAAGAGAATAGACAGTGAACCTCAGTATTATGTTTTAATCTGGGTAATTCACAGCTATGAGGTCTGGTACCTGCCATGTGAAGACTTTGTTTATTACCATGAAAATGTAAGACTAATGTTAAAAAGCTTGAGCGTAATGAGGATGAATCATTAGAAATGAAATGTGGGCTGAGCAACCAAACAATAAGCTGAAAGGCATCAAAACATTCAATTGAACTCAAGTTCAAAAGTACCCACATTCCACTTATTGAGGGTCAGAGAATAGAGCCACTTGACTGACAAAAACTTATGCACACACATAGAGTTAAATACTGTCTCATTTCTGCACTTTCACTGTCTCTTCCCCTCTGGCGCCTCATATTTGATTCCTTTTAGTCTCTAAATTTCCAGCAGCACAGCGGCTGGTTTTGTCCAGCCTCTGTGGTTTTGTGAAGTAGGCAAAAGGGATCCAGAGCATTAAGTGCTGCCTTCATAGTGCAGCACTGTAAGTGTAAATTGGCTGTGCGCTTTTAAGTCCTTTATGCATCGGTTGCAAGCAAACAAATGCATCTTGTTGCCACAGTAGCTATGGTAACTCCTGGTTAGAGCAATCTCAGGGGAGGTTGAAAATGCAGAGTGGCTGGAGTCTATGTGTATGTGGTGCAAGTTTGTAGTCATGCACGTGTTGTTTCCGTGGAGACATCCCCTCATAAGAAGTGAAATCCATAGTTTGCTAACATCATATCAATCTCGTGTGTGTGTGTGTGTGTGTGTGTGTGTGTGTGTGTGTGCGCGTGCGTGCGTGCGTGTGTGTGTGTCCTGTGAGATGTTACTCCCACGTGTAAGAGTGGCTTGTTTTCATTTTACTTTTTGCAGCTCATTTCACTCAACCGCCCCGAGACTGTGGCTGTGACAGCACTGTGGGAAAAACTGAAGTCAGGTTAAACCAGGGCTGGGAATGAGCAGTCAAGAGTTCAAAGTTCACACAGGCTGGTGTTGAGATTTCAGCGCTGAAGTTAAGAGCCATGTTCATACTGTGAGTCTGACTTGACAGAAAGAAACTTAATTCCTGGTACCACAGATCATCCTGGATCTTCTCTGTAAACTCCCTCACATATTTCTTGATCCTTGTGTTTGCACAGCGTGAGCTCTCACATAATGATAGGTTTGAGCTGGTGTGATGTTAAGGCTCTGCTGGTGTTACAGTCTGAAGGCTCATAAATTGGTGGAATTTGCAGTGATGAATAATTTCTGCCTCACACAAAATCATACACAACTTTATTAAGAAAGTTCTGCATATTTTTCACAAGTTAAAGTTGGATTTTTTTAAATCCCTGAAAGGAGACTCTGAGGAATTGATAGGTCATATCACACTTGCCATGATTATTACACTGAGTATTTCCTCATTTTGTAATCAAGCATGATCATTTCCTTGACTTAAATGACGGACATAACTGGTGATAAATAGTGAGATTTGGATCATACACATCTACCCGCCTGTGTTAGCTGCTGACATAAAGCTTGGTGGGTTTGTCACTGCGACTGGCGTTCTTTGCTGAGCGGTACTCTACTGAATGTCCACGGCTGTCCGGCCAGACTCTGTGTGTTTTGGCCACCAGTGTGAGTTGGCCTGTCTCCAGTCTGCCTACTCCAGATCCATATGCTGAATTATTGATAGAGCAGCAGTCAGAGAGAGAGAGAGAGAGAGAGAGAGAGGCAGAGGGAGAAAGAAAGAAATAGAGACCTTAAGGAGGAGAAATTACACTAAAGAGGAGAAGATGCACTCAGAGGAGAGGCAGAGTGCCGAGAAGGAGGAGAGCAAGACACCCACACAGCAGGGAGCAGGAAAAGTGAGAGAGGGGGACAGATTAAAGAAATAGGAGCCTCACACACTGAACTCAACACTGATCAGCAACACCAGATACTTTTATTTATTCAGACGCTGCTGTGAACGACTGCCTCTCCCTCTCTGTGCTGCCTCGGGAACACACCGTGCTGCTGTCTGCAGGCTCTCCCTCTGACGCCCTGCAGGACCCCCATTATAGCCGTGGGAAAATGATAGTATACAGAGAAAGGCATGGAGGGGACTTGAATATGTTAGACTTTAGTGAAGGATTTTTATTCCATCTTTCACTTAATCTTAGTTGAAAGCTTCCAGGAGTAATTTTAGGTGCTTATAAAACCAACTGGTTTATTGATAGCTCCATGTGACCCTATAAAGGCAAGCAGGAACATCATTGACTTGGTTGATTAATAGTTGCTTTTCATGCCTGTAACCACTGCCACTAGGTCTATAATCTTGGAATTCACTGGTTGGCATCCAGACAGGTTACAGCTGCCAAGGCCAATATCCATTTTTTTCAGTTCTTCTGGTTTAGCCAGCAGCTATTGCTGAGGGACTTCTGACACTAAGTTCTTTTTCCATGTTTTTCATTTGTGTAAAGTTTGACATGAAATTTGGGGCTGCCAGGTGATTCATTTCACGATTAATCGCAAAGTGACAATAATTCATCATGTTTAATCGCAGAATTGCAATTTTTTTTTTTTTTTGATTGGTGACCCCACCTTCAAAAGCGTCACATTTATGTTGCTGCCATCTTGATTTTTACTGTAATTAGGGATTATAAAAGGGCAATGGTAGGCAATGTGAAAATAATCAAATACATCACACATTTTTGGTTAAGACATTTTATTTGAAAGTCCTTATTCAAGTTTTCACATGTTTGCAACACCCAGACCTGAAAAGATTTTCTCTTCACTGTTTCTCCTTTTTTAGGAGTCAGTAGTTTCACTAATAGAAATCAAAACAGACATTTTTAGAAGAAGATTTAAATTCTTTACTTAAGAATTATTCCAAAACTTTTCATTCTCATGTTGATCTACTTCTATAAGGATGATTTATGAGGGATTTTTCTGCCCCGCATTAGACTGCCAAAGTAAACACTTTTAAGCACAGAGTGTGGTTTTTAATCTTACTTGTGGAGAAAGACATTCTGCAGTGTGCTTTTGATACTAGCAGTAGTTTGCCGAGTGATAGATAAACAAATTCTTCACTTTGTGGCTTTGAAGTTTAAAAAAGTTCCATTGTCGAAGTGGGTTAATGTAGTGAAGACACACTTGCTACCACACTTTGTACCCCACAGAAAATATGATATCCACTCTCACAGATTATCGGAATAATGGAAAATGTTTTAAATAGATTTTGATATTGCAGAGTCCTGAATGGAAGCTAATGGCTGCTAGAAAGGGGAAAAACAGATTGGAAAGTGTAAAACATAAGAGCATCCACATAAAATATAACTTAGTGATGTACAGGAAATGGGATTTGTAAAAGTGAGTAGAAAGTTGACAAAAGATGATGTAATATCTGTATGTGAGAAATGTTCTACGTCAATTGGCAGCCTAAAAGGAACCAAATCAGATCCTGTTGTTTGAATCTAAACATCAAATTACAAATAAATATTAAGAAATTTTCACTTTTTTGACTATGTACAGAGGTGAGATGAGTTGCTGAAGGATGGTCTATATCACCAGCTCTGTATAATTTCTGCTGAGGCACATTGTGTAAAATGGGAATATTAAAGGATATGTGACGGTCAAATTCTGGATTAATACCCTCTCTATTTGTGAAGCAACAATGACCTCTGTGTAAGGGGGTTCTTCTTTTGTACACTTATTAAAGGTCATTTCATTGAGATAATCATGCACTAATTTAAGCATACTTATGAACAATATATATTCCATTTTTACCCAGTCTGCTCTACCAAATGTCACGGAATACATCACTGTGCATATTTGGAGCTTGATAGACGCATAAAGTTTACCCTGATGGAGACTAGGAGTGTTATGTTCTAACCAAAATTTGGCTCCTGAAGCAACGTTGTCACCCCATTTGGCCCATCAGCAAAAAGCTATTTCCTCAATGAGTTGTTTGATCAAGTGTTGACTCTCAAGCCTCTCAGCAGGCTAACAGCTGAAAATGACAGCTGTTAACTCCTGTTAATGGGCCAACGCTGATGTATATAGTACAATAAAATATCATGATCAATATAATATGATAAATATAATAATACCAATCACAATGAGTAGTGAAATGGATGTACTCTGTTACTTTGTGGATAAAACTATTTAAGCATGTAGAAAATGAAAATGTGAGTACAGATCAAATTCATCATCAAATTATAATAGATGAAATCTACAGTAGACACGGTATTACTGATACAAAACAGTCAGTAAAACCTCCCACCTCCCCTCAACCTTTAATTGTCCCAAGCTTTAAAAAGATTCTCCATGACTGAAAAGTTTACACTTGCTCTAAGCTCAGAGTAAACTTTCACTTGAACTTTTGATTATATTGAAAATCTAACCCTCTGAAACCCCGTAAAACTCTAAGATCTCAATATCAGTCAAAATTACCGTAGCTAAGAGTTTTGCCAAGAGTTAGCAGCCTCACTGAACTCCCAGGAAAACTTTAAAAACTTTTGAGACATGCAGCGTCCTCCTTTATAACAGCATTCTGTGGCTAACTGTTGACTAAATTAACACTAAAACAAAATAACTTTAACCTCGAAATCTCATGACTTTGTTCTCGTAATAATATGACTTAACTAAGACTTTATTCTCCCAACATTACAGTGTGGTGTTCTCATGGTTTTATCCTCGTAACATAGCTCATTTTTTTCTCAAAATCTTAAAAAAAGGATTTCTTTTAATCTCACAAGAATACTCCGTCATAATTTTCATACCCAGTGTGTACAGCTAAATAATGCGGTGGATCTTCTTGATGTGGCTGATGTGGTTTTTGGCCTTCATCAGAGCACTCAGACTTGTTCAATCGAGGTAAATTGTGAACTTACCCAAAAGTGGTCCAACTGAGTGCTGGATTTGAACCACAAGTGAAAAAAACGAGTCCAATTAAATATAAAAATTCAGAAATTTCTCATCATTGTGTTCTGATTGAATAACCTCATGATATTTGAAGTCAAGCATTTTTAAATAGTTTGATAATTAAAGGTCAAGCTCATTTGTCCACTTATCTATTCGTACTGTCTGTTGTTTTTTCTGAGAATTCATTTCAGAAGAGTTTTAGAAAAGACTAAACTTTCAGCGGGGAACTAATACAGGGAAATACTTAATGACATAAAATGATTTCAACAGGACCCTGCGTCAATCTGTGAGATTAAAGCATTCACTTTTTCAGTTCTTTCCTTCAGTGTTGGCTCTTCTGAAAAAGTCCTTGCACAGTTCTGTATAACACAGGGATCACTTGAGATTTCAGGTTTTTATAATGCATGCAGAAAAAAATGAAAGTTTTATGGTCGGTGACTCACACTCCTCAATCATTTTGTGCCTTAAAACCAGATGAGTCGTCAGTAAAGCAGAGATAGATGATGTCCTCACTGCTGCCCACATTGTTGCCGTGCTGCATTGATCTGATACTTGCTGATGAACTAATACTCGTGTCTCTTTCTGCTGCTGCAGTCCATGCAGTCATCCAGAGGCTCTCCCTCCCTGTGGCTGAGAAAGCAGCAGCAGCATGTCCCGCATCTCCTCCACCGCCAAGCGCTACGCTGGCCCCTCCTACACCAGCCATTACAGCTCCTACAGCTCCCTGAGCCCGGGCCTTAGCTCTTACGAGCGGGACAGAGTGTCCTCCTACAAGTCCCCAATCTCCTCTTCCACCTCTTCTTCAGGTTACTCCTCTTCCAGCTACCTGAGCAGTTCAGCAGCCCGCAGCCGCAACTACAGCACCTCCTCAGATCCTGACCCCGACAGGGGACGCACCATCCCTCGCACAGACATCCTTGGAAGCAGCAGCAGCAGCAGCAGCAGCAGCCGTCGGAGCAAGAGCCTCAGCAGGACCCCCGCCAAGAGCTATGGCGGGTCAGGGCTGAGCGGGGGATCGACCTACACCGGCTCCAGCTCCTACTCTTCATCCTCTGCCCAGATCAGCTACCTCTACTCTTCACCGGTGGCCTCGAGCATCTCACTTAGCCGACGAAAATCTGTATCCCAGAGTGACCTGAGCAGGGACCTGGCCTCTCTGGGTCTCAACGACTCCTCCACCTCCTCCTCTTCCTCCACCCCTTCCTCATCCACCAGTGCCCTGCGGAGCTACCGCAGTCGGACCAGCAATGTGGCCAACTCGTACAGCTCCAACTCTCGCCCGAGCTACTCAGGCCTGTCACGGAGCTCTACTCAGGAGGCCCTCTCACGGAGCTCCACCCAGGAGGCCTTCAGTAGCAGCAGCAGCAGCAGAGTATACAGCTCTTCAACATGGGAGCCAAGTAGTAACGGGCTGTCCGACTCACCCACCAGGGACTCCACGGTAAGAGAGTGTCCTCTGTTGTTGCACGTTCTTGTCTAAGTTGCTTTTATTAGGCTGGGAAGTGGGGATCGATATCCAGCAGCTGAGTAGCTGCAGTCTGCACCACAGAGGCACACTGGTTTCATTTCTGTGGCTTCACACACATAGCAGAGCTGAACAATGCTCTGTGGCTTCTGAGTACCCTCTTTTTACCAAAGGGGGGCACTGCTGCTCAAATTAACTTGATGGACTTGAACACATGGTTCATAAACTCACACAAGGTACTAAACACTCTCTCCCCTCCTTTTCTTTTGTAGGCTCTTCAGATGTGATAGTTTTAGTTTATGTGACAGGAATCTACCATATCTAAACTGCAGCTTGTTATCCCTGTACACAGGTACTTCATGTTATGTGTCAAATGAGCACAGATACCTGACCCCTTATTTCCCACCAATTAACACACTGACACCTCCTTGAAGGTGGCTACCGTGTGCTGGACTCTTCAGGCCAATAGCCCCATCTCTGAGTGAGGTATCAGTGACCTGATCTGTGTGTATGCAGGTCAGAGAGCACAACTGACCCAGTTCCTGTTAGGATTAGTTCCCATGACCACTTACATGAAAGGAGGAGGAGGAGGTGGAGGGAATGGACATTAGAAAGGATAAAGAGAAGTGGAGAGAGAGAATTGAAGTATATGAGGGAATCTTCCAGCACTTTGCTTTATCACATAACACTAATACTGATAGACACTGAACTAAAACTCTTTTAAAAATATAACAACTAAATAAAAGTTGCAGCATTAGAAGCTAAATAAAACTTCACTAAAATTGGATGTAAGAAGTCAAACAACGTCAAGATACAAGTTAATGACATTTTTCAAACCATAACATTGGTGCAGATTTGCGGTTTTAGCCAGAAAGTTGAAGTAAATGACACAGGAATTCTTTACAATAAAAGAAAAATGTATTTTAGTATCAGTATGAATGTATCGATGTCAGTCAAAATGAGTTTTTGCAAATATCAGAAAAAATCCTATATTGTGCATCGCTAACAATGTTTCTTAAATGTATTATAAACCCAGCCCTGCATCTCTAATCAGTCAGGTGCTGCCTTTCAGCTTATACAAGTCTCTATTCAGACCCAGATTAGCAACCCAACACAACCTAAACATCACAAAATCCCTGTAAATCAAAGCCGTTTTGTGTAGCAGAAGTCCCACTTCTGCTACACAAACACAAACACAAACCTCTGCTCGGTCCACATATGCTCCTAACTCATTGCCACTGACTCTACTCAGGCCTTTTCCTGGCACCTCCAAAATTGTCTGCAAGAAGTCAGACACTTGAACGCAGCAGGTCAAAGTTCAAACTCAGTGGCAGTGTGGGGATTGATGTTTGCTCCTGCTCTTTTTGTCACCATGCATGAGGAAGCATCTTAGTTATATCATAACCTGCCAAAGGCTTGCGAGTAGATTAATAGCTTTTCACACCACTTACCTGCAGATGAACTGGCAAGTCTGAACCTGACTCTTATGTTCATCCAACCTGTGAAGTAATCAACACTTATCCATTATGCTCAGACAGAGAACTACGCAGCTCAAACCGGGCTTCACCAGCTGAGCTATTGGCACTGTTAATGAACCTCAGGCCTCTGTTACTCCTGACACATTTAATCACCTTCATGCTCCAGATCTGAGCGCCTGCTCTGATGGAGGTCGGAAAGCAAAAACCAGCCATCACATAGGTCTTGAATTTCACATTGTGATTAGTTCGATGTTGATTTGTTTACAGTGGATAAAAAGAAAAAATCCTCAAACAGTGGGGAAAAGGTAGGAGAAGTGTAAGACAAAAAAAGACATTACACATTACAGATCTAAAAAACTTTAGATGGTGGATAGTGAACACTTAATAACATGGCGCGGGTTACAGAAGTGTTTATAAGACTGATAATTGGGGAAAAATGTCACTGACTCTGACTCTGACAGGACAGAAAATTCAATCAAGTGCCAAACTAACTCATGTTCTCCTCACTTTGTCTTCCTTTAGCCCATGTTAAGAGGACTTTAGAATAAACTGTGAGTGTAGATGCAGCTCAAACTGTGAGTGTGACAGACTGTTTTCAGTGAAAGAAATCTAACCTTTTCTAAATCATTGCAAACATATTCAAATCATATCTAGAGTAAATTGTTTCATTTATTTTGTCAGTTGTGTGATAAGCCGAATAATCGACAGTGTCCTCCTGAACTAGACTTATAGGTAATGTGAAGAGGAGTTTGACACTGATGCCTCTTAATGTCCCTCAAAAGCAAACAAGGCTGATAACACCACTATCTTAAATTTCAGTGTTGCTGTCAGAGGAAAAGCATTAAACCAACTGATTAACAGCAGCTTGAAAAAAGGCCCTTTTTTACTTACTACACAAAAAATTGTCACAGTGAGCAATGAGTAACTTTGTTCAAAGACATCAGGGTGAGATCTTCGTTTGAAAACACTATGTTCACATGTACAGAAAAAGAAAGGAGAGGTATGACTTTGTCTATAACAGGTGCCAACACCAACACAAACTACAAGTTCCTCACACCAGCTTTAAATTTCAAAAAGTTTCCTGCAAGGTCTCAGTACATCATGATGTCTGTGTATACACTAGATACACTAGATAGAAAGAAAGCAGGGGAATTTGTGCCTCTCACTGTCAAACTACACACACACACACACACACACACACACACACACACACACACACACACACACACACACACACACACACACACACACACACACAAACACACACACAGTGTACTGCAGAGGTGGTAAACTCAAAAAAAGTCCTACTCGGTTTAAAATACTATTACACTTAGAGGCTTTTAGTTGTTTGTTCTTAGTTGTTTGAAACAAACTGGAGACTAAATTGTGTGGTGATGTTGAAGTTTGAGTTTAGGCTGAATTAGTTGATTTGTTTATTCTACATTTGAGTTATGCTCTCTATTACCTTTTGTGAGAATTTTATTAGAGTATCATGAGATGTGATAAAGAGACTTGTTATAACCGAAGGACCCTTGGATGGTAAATCTTAGACCTGCTCACCCTGTCAATAACCCAGATCAGCCGGGACAACTAGTTACATGTATATTTTCTTACACGTAACAGTTGGATTCCTGCTGTATCTCTTATTTTTTGTGTTTGATTCATAAAGATCTTTACATCTCCTGACCCAGTTTGATCAGCCTTTATCCTCCAGTTCTCCTCTGAAGGTATTTTTAACAGAGCTGTTGTTGGATTATTGGTCCAGTTGCCAAATATGTCTGACAAGCTGTCTCCACATTCAGTATTGTTCTCACTTTGTTCCAACATGGACACGTACAGTGTGACCTAATTTAGTTTAGTGTAGTTTCCTGATAGCCAGTGAAAACAGTTTACATCCACTTCTCTCTTCTGGTTATGATATGTTGTACACTGAGGTAGAAAAAGACCCATCCTTGCTTGAATGCCCATTTAGGTGAAACACTAGGATGATGGTGAAGTTGGCAAGCTTTTACTGCAAGTTTAATATTTTTATAAGAGCTGCGGACACGCCTATGCCTCTGGCTGATTAAAGTGGTGTCTTATACATGCATGCATCTTCCCAGTGCCTTCACCTCTATGAAAGATGTATGGCACAGAGGACGATTCATATTGTTGTTGTTATTTTAATTCATGACTTACTGTAGTTTGACACCCAGACTTACACTGACTTGTGTTTTTAATGTTATGCGCTTTATGTCCGTAACTCTGTTCAAAAGTGCCCATTAGAGCCAGGACATTTTTTTCAAGGAGATCTTTAATCTCAGTGAGGGTTTCCTGGTAAGATAAATAAAATAAAAAAATAAAATAAAATAAAATAAAAAACTGGGTCATTTACAATATTTAACCTTTCCTGACTGGCTGGGCTGAGGAGATATCTACTGTTTATTTCAACTCTTATTTATTTTCTCAGCTCTGGCCATTGTTTCTATTAGTTGTGAAATATTGGACTTGATAAAACACTCACAAAGGTCTTTTGAAAAAGGTTAAACAATGCAAATAGTTGGCTATTAACCACATTTTAGAACTCAGTTTTTCTGTGCACTGAGTCATCATTGAAACATGATTGACCTGACGTCCTACCTGTAGATAAAGGGGTTCACACTGGCTTGTCATCTGACATCTGACATCCACCTGTGACTCATAAACATGAAGACAAAGTGCAGTGTTACCTCACCTTGAATCAAAGCCAGCTGTTTGTTAAGACACGTCTCTTAATCTTTTTTGCTCTTTGGATCCTACAAACAAACAAACACACAAAACAACAGGAAGGCATACCGAAGTTAGAGGTGCCTTGGTTTTGCCCTGAGTTCTGCCCCTCAGGTTTTTGTGTCTGGACTTTTCTGTTGAGTCAACAGTATTTCCAGACTGTCTGACTCTCAGCTTGTCGCTTTAGTTTGATAAAGACAGAAAGAAAAGCCTGGAATGACTTGATGCTGTACCGCAGTCTTTGGCGAAGAAAAGGCTGTGTGGCTTATTGATAGAGTTTTGTGTGTAAGTTGGTGGCACATCACAGCCGCTACAGAATCAGGATCTTTACATAAATCAAAGTAAATCAAAACTTGGTATTTTAGAAAGAAAATGTCTTTATTTTGGAGGATGGGCTTTCTTTGAATACAGTTTAGGGTGTTTAGATACAGTGGGATTAGTGTACATTGCTACTCAGTCAGTTATCAACAATTATTTTAAAAATAAGCATCAAGATTAAGAATATTGTCACAAAAATACTGAGAAAGATACTACTTTTAAAAAAATTCAAAGAAATTCAGGAAATGGGTTGAACAGTTAAAACACAGTCACTTTTACACCTCTGTACCATTTATTTGTATGAGAAGTGCAACAAAGTTTCATCTTTTTAACTTCCTTTCTTCATCTGTTGTGGTTTTGTATTACTACCCAGCTTCCATCACCACATTCATGCAATTCAACTTCTACCTCAAAGCTCAGCATGCAAACACGCCAAACCAGTCTCATATACATGTTAGGGAAAATCAGTCCCCAACCACATTATCCTCTAGCTGTGTGTAAGGTCAAACTTAGCCAAGTTTAAATGTAATTTCTAATTTAGGATGGAGTTTATGCACTACTGGTGATTGTTTATTGCACCAGCTCAGAGTTTCAATGTAGGAATAAGTTGGAGATGTTAAGTCCCCTTTAAATACCAATTGTCTTTGCGCATCATTTTTCAAGACAGGATAACTTGGAAGAGGACAAGGAGCAGAGTTTAACTTGCTGTTTTGTGCAGGCAGTGTGTTTTCCATGGCAGACTTTATCAATCAGAAATATTTTAACTTTGATCTGTACTTCTGCTGTCCAGCAGAGAGCTGTTCTGAGTACCACTGTATTATATCATATACTTGATGCACTACTCTTTGTCATCGTTGTTTACGGGATAAACTATCTTCTTTTCATAAAGCCTTGTCATATTTTATATGCCTTTACGCTGCTGTTAGTGCAGTAACAGGAGTTTCAGTTTTTTTGGCTTCATTTTAGAAGAGCTGTTGTGTTAGTCATTTTATCACTCAGGGCTCTATTTTCGTTCGCGCCGGTGAGGCGGCGAGCCCCGCGCAGTTGTATTTTCGTCTGGCGGAGCCCAGCGTAAGGCCAATTTGGTATTTTCGTGGCATGAGCCGCACGGAGGCGAGCCGAGATCCGCCAAGCTGGGCGTGGTGGTGTGGCAGGGGGAGGTGTCGACAGAATCAGCAGGCGCAGTGACATTTTCGTGCTCGCCACTGGCGTGTAAAGTGCGCTGAAAGCTCGCCGATTCAAACCTGGTCAGCTTTCAGCGCAAGGCGGAATGCAGCTGGTCCAGTAGTATTTTGGTAGACCGGCGGCGTATCGACATACGTCACTGATGCCTCACCGGCAGGTTTCCACAGTGTCAGGCACATTTCAGTGCAATAAATAATCATCATCAACTATTAATGTGAGTCAGCACATACATTTAGATCTATATAGATATATTCTGATCTATATCTGATCTGATGAGCGCGTTTGGCACGCGTTTGGACACACAACCTGACCGAATCAACACAGCTGAAACCGCATCAAATTAAATTAAATATCTAGTAAATATTCACACATGATGAAGTTAACTCGATATGTAATTCGTCTCCCTCCTTTTCTTTCTTCCTCTTCCTCTTATTTCTCGCACAGCTCGACCTGGACACGTCTCCGTGTCCTCTGTCCGTCTTGCTTGCTGCTGCGGCTGAACAGATGATTTGTTTCAGTGCTCAGATGCGTTATCTACTTTAAGCCGACATACGGATATTATAATATTCAGTTTTGTGAGCCAAATTTATTTTATATGCCAACATCTATGAAAGAAAGAGCCAGGCCACGGAGCGCGATGCGTCATTTACGCACAGATGGTTCCGATTTTTATGCCATTTTTGGAGTTTATGTTGTGATCTGTGCGCTCAACCGACCTTTGTCACGTGAGGTTTGAATATGAGCAACTTTATGTGAGTGTCTTTATTTGTGGAAAAGGGTGTTTGTCTTACCACTGGGTCCAACATTACGCACACTAAATCCATCTGTGCTCAGATGAGAGAGTGTGGAGGACACTTGTTGAGGAGCTGCCCTCTGTCGCCATCTTGTGGCATTACTGTCTTAAGACATCTCTTGATCTCTTTGACTACTTCATGAAAATAGTAATACGCCTCGCCTGTGGCGGATTTAAAGGCAAGGAGAGGAGCCTATGTGATTGGTGAAAACAGGTCTCGGCTGTGTTAAACCCACTAACCGCCCTTTCTACGACTTATGGTGCTGGGAGGAGCTGAGTTAGGGAGGGGGGATACTTACGCCGGGCTGCGCGGCTCACCAAAATACCAAAATGTGCTTGGGAACGCCTTGTCAGCGCGGCGGATCTGATTGACGCTGCGCTTGCGGCAGATCTCCGGCGAGGCACCAAAATAGAGCCCTCAGTCTTCAATAGCAGGTTATTTGGTTGGGTGTGGGCTAAACCTTCTCCAGGGAGTTTTCTGCTCTCCCCTCCTGCTGCACTTGCTCGTACCTTGTTTATCTATTCAGAGATCAGACCTTGATATTCAATTCTACACTGACTGAACAGAAGACCTCATTCTGTGCTGGAACATGAAACTAAAGGCTTCACTCTGTTCTGGACCTCTCCCACACTCCCCCCTGTGCTTACCCGCATACTACTCTGCGGATGAGGTGATGCAGCATCAGTGCTAGCAAGTTCAAGACTGCCATGTACCTTGCAGTAATGTAGTACAAGGGTCTGTGACTACTGTCAACAACCGTGGATTGCTTTAGCTTCCCTCCAAAGGCATCATGCTGTAACCTGGTTCCATTCAACACCTGAATAGAGAGTTTTCAGGCTAATGTGACTGATATAGCTAACCGTCTCTAGGGTAACGCTGCGGAGAGATGACATTTGCCCCATTTTAAATCAGACTGCTCAGCTCTTTGCAGCAGATATCCTAAAACAAACACTGACTCTTTGCCCCCTCAGTTGAAGTTGTAGCTTTCCACCTCAAGGATTTGGACATTCAGACACACACACACACACACACACACACACACACACACACACACACACACACACACACACACACACACACACACACACACACAGACTCACAGACGTTTAGCCTGGTGATGGAATGTGCTCCTTGGGTATTTGTTGTGCACACATGCTTTGGCCCGGGTCATGAGATCTCTGCTCAGGGACATGTTGCACTTTTCTCTCTGCACACATTCAAATGTTCTTGGCTAAAATCAGTGACACGGTAAACCTGAAATGTAAATGAATCCTTTCTCTAAGAATAAAAACAGAAGTGCATGCCGGCTGATAATTTATGTGGTTATAAAGATAAGACGTGATGAAATATTTATCTCACTGAAATTCTGCTTTAGTTTTGAACCAAGTCAAATGAATGATGAGGCAGCTTTCGTAGAAACAAGGATTTTCATTTCTCTCAAACCTTCTCTCCGTGTCCAAGGAGAAGGTCTCTGTCACTTTTTTTTCAGAATATTTCTGGTTTTTGCCTTGTTTAAATGAGAAAAACCCAACTCAAAACAGAAATGTCTCACCTTCAGGTTTATTTTGAAAGTAACACAGATCTATTAAATATCCAAAAACACCAGAGTATCCATGCCAGGCCAGTGGTTGGCAGTAGTGGTCGACTGAACATAGTTTTTGAACAGTGGATATGGATAAGGATAGAGCAGGACAGCCAATGGCTGATATTTAATGCTTATATTGCATTGCTGTTGTTGTTTTTGTGTTTGACAAATTATGGCAATGTAACAGTACTAATTGATAAGAAATAAAAGTGCTGAATTTCACCACATTTTGATAAATAAAATGGAAAACTTTTTGCCATGGTAAAATATAAACACATTGGGCTTATGAATCTATCCAGTTGTCTTAATTTCTTTTTAATACTAGGTTAATATTGTGGTCAAAATCAATAAATGAAATCATCATTAATTTATGTAAATTATAATGATTTAGGGTCCTAAACTTTGACCTGTTTTCATCAAGACAGACAAATATAACAACTTCAGACTGACAGGGATGTCGTTACTGAAAGCTCCCATGAGAAATGTTTGGTTTTGTTGTTTCGACTGTTCCTATGGACAACGCAGTCTCAGCTTATCTTGTCTTGTACATGCTAGGGTTCTTTATAGGAGCTTTAACTACCGGATGTAAGTAAGTCAGTAAAGATTATGTAGAGAGCACTTTTCACTGGTACAAATCATAAAGCAGTGTACATAAAATAAGTGCAATTAGATAAACATAAAACAGTACAAAAGATAAGTACATATACACACACCAAAAGGAATACAGTACAGGTGAATACGGAAATAAGTGCAGATATAAAAGATAGGCAAAAGAGACAAACAAAACCCTGTTAATTAAAAGCTTGTCTAAGTAAAAGAGCCTTCAACTGCATTTTAAAAGAATCCACTGAGTCGATCAACTGGAGGGAGAGGGGCAGATCGTTCCAGAGTCTGGGGCGTACAGCAGAGCTGGCCCAAGCCTCAAAGTGGCCCTAAGCAAAATTTGATTTTGGGGCACTCTATTTCTGCCAATAATATTGATTGCTGATCATTCACACACCTTCAGAAATCTCTTTGATTAACATTCCATGACATGCCTATATCTTTTTTTTTCCTCTTCCTCCTCTTTCTTTCTCTTTCTTTTCTCTGCTCCTGAAGGATATGTCATTTTTTTGCATCATTGTTTTGCCCCACAACTACCTGGGCTTTGGATGCTCAGTACACATTGCACAGCAGAAGGCACATAACGGTAGCGGAGCTTTGACATGTTGGCAGTAAGAATCATAGGTCTACATCAGCACTGAAATGTTTTTACTTTATTTTATTTTATTTTTACAATAATATATATTTGATCATACAGAAAGCATCACTCATACATGCAAAAAAATACATATATATTTGATATGCCTTGGGCCGGCTCTGCCATACAGTCTTAAAAGCCTGGTCTCCCCGAGTTTTAAAACGGGTCTTCGGCACCATTAGGGGGTTCTGGCCTGACGACCGAAGGGTGCACCCTGGGAAGTAGGGGCACAACAAATCAGTGATATATTGGGGGGCCTAACCATGCAGTACCCGGAAAGTCAGAACTAAAATTTCTAAATTGATACAAAAATTGACCGGTAGCCAATGATGTCTGAATAAGCTTGTGTATGCAAACGACTTAGCCTATTTAACAGAGAATGTGATTCACCACTATCACAAGAAAACACAGCGAAAAAGGGGCATGTATACACACCATTTTCAAGTCTATTTTCTCTCATTTTTAATATCTTTGAATCAGAAAAATTCTAAAAAAAAAACATAATCATCTCTGTTTGATGTTTACTTAGGAGCTCTGCGTCATGCTTGTTGTCTGTGTTATATATTTGCTCAGTTGTGTTATCAGACTGTTGGTCTTATCTCGAATTGCAGCAGAAGCTAATTCTCCTTCATCCTCTTATTGCAACAGGGTGGAATCAATAACTACTAAACCCCCATTGTTTGAGTGCTGGTGAAACACAGGAAACCTCATTAATGACTCTCTTTTTAGGAGAGCAGAGTCTAATTTAAGAACCACAGGCTCACTAGCGTAGTAAATCACATTCCTGCTGCCGCGTTTGTTGTGCCATTCATGAGTGTGTGCTCCTGTGCAGCTGCATTGTGATGAATTAAACATAGAGTGGAGAATGGGCTGGTTTTCTGTCATGATAGGAGATGACTGGTGTCTCCTTGGACCTCAGTCCTTCAGCGTGGGGGAAAGATGAAACGTGACGTAATCAGGAGGCGGGCGCTGACGTTTGATGTAGGCCGATTCTACTCGAGCCAAAAGGGGCGGAGCCTCATTCGTGTATAACCGAGTGAGAGCACATTTAGGCTACGTTTATTCTCGTTTATTAACCTGACACGCGCGTTTTATACACAGGCAGAAAATGATGGAAGAGCTGAAACCTAGTTTGACATAACTTTATCCGTTTCATGTGTGCGTCGTTATTTCCAACAGGGTATTTATAGGTAGAGTCATTTAGGTCTTCTATTCGGCGTGATTTGTGAGGTCGGTGCCGTTATATGAATGAATGACTGACATCAAGCAGAGAGCCTATCGGAAACGGAGAGAAACGTCAAATTCCAGCGAGAGACCTGGTAGCAGGAGAGCAGGAGCGGGCAGAAAACCTCTTCTATTCGGTTAAAATACTCGCACTACCTGGTCCTTGTGTCGCCAGCATGCCGAGCATGCGACAGTCTTACACGGTCACCGTACCCGAGGAGCCGCCGGCCGCCGCTTTCCCGTTCCTGAAGCAGGAGATGCGGAGGAAAGGCAGCATGTCCGGCTCCATGCTGGTGTCTACCTTCGTAGGGCTCCTCATAAACCAAGCCAAGGTAAGAGGCAGTGCCCGCTTCGTCCGTTATGTCACCAAACCCCATCGTGGAAACAGCAAAGTTGAGGTTGATGGCGCATTATCACTTTCTTATCGAGCTGGTAAACTCTCTGAACTGCTTTGTGAATCGTCTGTCATGTACTGTCAAATCAGTCTTATGTAATACCCGATAAATATCTAAGTCTGTGCTCAGTTATGAAGAGATTGTTCATGAGAATGTAGTATCCACCAAGGTACCTCGCTTAAACCTTATTTATTTATTTATTTATTCATTTATTTGGACAGGACAGTACCAGTTCATGGACAAGGAGAAGAAGACATGATACAACAAATATGTATGTCTATTCTCATCGTAAACCAGCCGGAGTTAGCTAAGGCTAATTTCCATCCGTTGTCCTCAAACAGAAAAGCAACAACAACAGACAACAATATCTTAGCAGTGAATGCTTATCAACAATGTGATCACGGACTGCACAAGAAATCGCAGGTTTATATTTCAACATCACAAAATTACTTTACTTACCTGCAGGATAAATGTCAGGTTTGCTGGTAAATGGGCTTTCCATGGGAAAATAAGACATACATTTTGCTTTGTTGGTGACAAATAGAGTTGAAGGAACAAATCACAGATAGGACCATTGTTGATTTTTAAAACTATAAATAAGCCCCATTTAGATTTTTATTTTAATTCTGGGGCTGTCATGGCTTTTATTGATAGATGGAGGAGCAGTCAACAGGGGAGAGATGCCACAGGGAGGAATTGAACCTGGACTGCCTGCCTACATGGGGCGCACCTAAATCACTGCGCCTCAAATACACTCCATTTATGCGGTTAAATTGTCTAGATTTTCTCATATTGTAATGAATATTGTAGGGAGAAAATGCATTTTAATGTTGCATGCAGTTAAACTTGCCCATTTGCTGTATGTACGGTTTCTTGACACAATCTGACATGCTATCTTTCATGTTCTGTCAGGTTTATGTCTGCAGATGAGAGTAAGAGTGAAGTCGAGGTTCATTGCAGGCAGTAATGTGAGCTGTAGTCAGTGTAAAGAGGACAGATGTTTATGTCACTGACAGAGTTATGTATCTTGTTAAAGATGATGTCAGTTTCACGTTGAATTGAGTCATTTGCAGAGGTAAGCCTCTCTTTTAAGCCGCTGTACTCCGCTGTGCCGGGATCAGTAGGCCTGCACTGGCAGGTCACTGGTTATATAACCACCTTTTAATCCCCCCTCATACACTACAGCTGCTCTAACTATACTGCCCTTTATGTATCCCACAACAGGCCTCTAATGGAAATAATCAAAGAACTAACCCATTCTGGCGGAGCTTTCTTAATGCCCTGGAACATCTCGGAAGTGCCTCTGGCCATTTCCATATGGACACATGTACAGATAAATGTAGGTCTGGTTACACAATGCAGCCAGGTCAGCCTTCATACTAGGCCGTGACACCCCCAATTAAAGCTGCTTTTATACTTTGCGCTTATTTGGGTATAAAAACAAAGACTCAGGGTGTAGAGTCATCTTATCTGCAAAGTGGAAAAGCATCCTAAAAATAATTAAAAAAAATATGACATAATTGAGAAAATTCCCTCTTATAACAGGTGGAATAGCAGGAAAATGAAAGGAGAAACAGATGTTTATGGAGATGTGATGATGGAAAATCCTTTTGTATTTGTTTGAAGCAAAGTTCTGTGTTGAATCATACATCTGTCCATCCATCACACGTCATTTTTTTATTTGAGTCTTTATGATGACTTTACAAGTGACGTTGAATGTGATGAACAAAGATTTGTGGACACCTCAAACAAGCACAGCAGCCCACTGATGGTAAAATGATTGCTGAAATTTGTGTCAGCATGTAGCCCCCAATACGACATAAGACTCTCAGTTGTACTCTTTGATTGACAGGTGTGGTGGTTGTCCACACCTGTAGATAAATGGACTTGTTTATTATTTTTTAAAGAGAGGTCTAAAGGCCCATTAGTCCTCTGTTTTTATCCTAATGTGAGAAGACAAAGAGAAATAACTTCTAGCTGCAGATGTCTGTGTGTGTGTGTTCCTGAGCCACACTGGAGTGTAGCCGCTTTGTGCCAGCTTTCTGTTATGTAATGAGAAATCACATTAGAATACACTTGAGTGCTTGCCAGGCCTCACAGCTTGGCATGCTTTCTGTTTTGTTGTCACCGTCCACCTGCTCCTCTCTCCTCCATCCTGTCCTTCTTCTTCTCCTTTCACTCTCGCTCAGCCCGCCCTCTGTTTTTGTTCATCTCTGTGCATGCACATGTGGATTTGTGAAGGAGAGAGGTATGCATTCAGGTGTGCTGACGTGAGGGCGTGTGTGTTGTTATCTGTGGTCATGGACATTTTTGCACAGCACAGACAGCTGGAAGTTGTCTCTGCACACTGTAAAGGGTTTAGTCTTTTGGCAATATCTAATTTGTAATACATTTATTCTGTTGTTGAGAAAGTTATGATTGAGTATTTGCTGATTCCATGTGCAGCAGATAGATGGATTTCTGAGTTATTCATGAAAGTTTTCTCAACTTCTCAACCAAACACTTGAAAAATTAATATAGAAGAAGTTTTCTTTGTTTTTTTAATCCTCTCTGGTAACTGGACTCTGTTGCAGGGTGGGCAGTAAACTGGTTTCAGTACCCTTTCTGGTGTCACATTTTGCCACAACATGATTTGTGCAGTTAATTATTCAATTGTCATGGTCAACCCCATTTTATAACTCAATTTTTAACACTCAAACCTAAAACTTTTTTTCTCTGTTCATACATTTCTAATTATTTAGCCTCTTTGTCTTTTCCCATCTCTTTGTGGTGGTAGAGTGGTGTTACCTCTTAATATTTTATGTGTACTTGACAGCCCTCCTTATGCTTTAACTATCTTCATTATGATAAAATATCCATAACAACACCAGCTGGCACTTTACAGTTCAGTTACTGATAAAGTAAAAAACAAAGTGGATGTAACAGAAATACTTGACATTCCTGAGGGTATTTGCGTCTCAGAGACGCGGCGTGTGTTAGTTTCTTGTGCAACACCAGCTCTTTTTTTTTTTTTTTGGTTCTTCTCTTTTAGATCTTTAAATTTTTGATGACATTTTTATGTTCAAATTTTGCAAGTCTAGCTCTGGTACTCTTTTATCACTCTGTATCAGCTGCTTTACAAACTCAGGTATCTAGATCAGTTTAGTGAGAGAAAAAGAAACCTAAAAAATCTGTCTTTGCAACTAAGCTCTTGTTCAAAATGCAGTATTTCAAAATAACAAGCCATTATACTCAGATCATCAAAACATTGTCAGCATACGCCTGATCGAGCCACACTTCTTCAGCAGGAGTAACTGTATTGTAATTTCTTACATGAAGATAAAACATTTTTATGTTAACCAATCAAATCAGAGTGGAGGCACATGTGGATTTTTCTGTTTTCGGACCATGGTGAGGTCCTCCAGCAGCGCAGCATGTTGTGAGAGGGCCCAGAGTTCAGTGTAATGTAAATACAAGCCTGTAAGCTCAAAGTTAACTTTTCCACCACTGACTGAGAGTTTCCTGGTAGAGAAAAACACCAGTGCAGGTGTGTGAAGGTGCACTTACATAAGACGCTTAAGCATTTCTTTGACCTCACATTCTCTCCATCTGTTAGCGATACAGTGTCGGGCTTTAGTGCGATAACCCGCTGAGTGAAAAGTGTCTTCTCACAGCCTCAGATCTAATGGGAAGCAGAGTTCATTGAATCAGAGGTTGTGTTTATTTGAATTCCTCTGAAAGACAGCCATTCCTCTCAGCAAGAGGATCTCACTCTGTTTGTGTTTGCATAGAAGTGTGTGTGCAGGTGTGTGTGTGCAGGTGTGTGTGTGAGCATGAGCTGTGCTTCTATGTTACCGAGCACTGTGGTGTCGCAGGGTTTTCATGACAATACAGCATCTTTTCAGCCTCCATGTATGAAAAAAAGCAGCAATAAGAATTATTGTGTTGTGAGGAGGGATGGACGATATGAGCTAAAAAAAATTTAGCACTAAAAGATTTGCCACTCTGCCAATAACGATAAAATTCCTAATAAAAATAATATAATTCCAATCTGTATTTTTAACTAATTTTGTCTTAAGCACACCAGTTGGAATATTTAAATAAGATACTTAACCACAATTTTGAGTGGTAGGTTTTGGAGAAAACTAATGACACAAACAAGTCTCAAATGTGAAAACATTTTCAACATTTGTTAAAAACCCTTATTACACAGAGTGAACAGCAGCAGCAGATCCACTGTCTGATGTCAGGCAGACCTTATTGCAATAATCTAAACCCCATGCTTGAAGGAAATCCTTCATGTGGAGCCTCGCTCAGTAACAAGCTGCTCAGAAACATCTTCTTCATTACCTTCAGCCATGTTTGTTTTTTATTCTGCTCTGTGTGGGCTTTGGCTGCGGGTCCGCTGCTCACGCTTATGTCATCAACTTGCATTTATCGAAACTTATCATGAGATGGCAAATATTTATCATGGAGGATTTTTCTGATGATATATTGTGAACTTCAATTTATCGCCCATCCCTAGTTTTGAGTAGGTAATAGTGAAAATTGGAATCCTAAACTTGATGAATTAGTCTGCAGTTGCCTGGATTGCAGGTCAGAATGTTGCTCCACCTTTCTAAGATAGTTGTGGTCACCATCTCTCCACTCTCAAGATCAGCCTGAGACAGAAATGAGTGATTTTGCAACAGTGTCTCTTTTTTTGCAGATGAATTTGATATGGTCTGTGTGTGTGTGATCAAGTTGTCCCTGCAGGGTTTTGATGTTGATCTGCTGTTAAACATGTTTGACTATTGTTGTGCAGACATGGTCCATGGTCATAAAAACCTCGGAGGACTGGCAGCAGAGCTCAGGACAGAGTAACATGTTGTGATTTCTGATGACACACTCACTGGTGGGATGCAACTGATTGAGTTACTTTCTCCAAGTCAGCAGTGACATCTTTGATTTTTCTCTCTTTGTGAGGCAGTTATTGAGATAACAATGGCATTGCAACATATTGCATCTACATCTTTACACAAATGCTAAGCATCTGACAGTGTCAACAGGCAGAGAGGAAAACAGCCAGACTCTTCTCTGCAGATCGATTTAAAATGACGTGTGTGATGAAGTTTTGCCTGGAGTTGCCTTTGCTCTTGAAAATTAGCTGTAGTCTTTATGGATTTTGAACCAATCAGAATAAGTATTTGACACAGCAAGGTAAAACTGTTGCAGTAACAGTATTTGCCATCCTGAAAACATTAAAATCAGCTCCTGTATCAATACACACATGCTACACATCTGGCTCTAGATACAGAAATTACACAGGTGATAGAGCAGAGTTCAATTCAAAGAAACTGTGTAGTTCTTAGTGTTGTTTAGCGGGACAAGCTTGACAGGAATGAAATAAGATATCCACAGATTTACCCAACTTCTCTTTAATAAACCTAGCATAAATAATTTGGCTTTTGCTGATTTAAATAGATTTCTTTTATATCTGCTTGAATAGTTTCATAAACGCTGCCGTCGTGGGATAAAAAGATTCAAAACAAATGTTATTTAAAAGAGAAGGCACTGACAAAGTTTTTCTTGAAATACTTGGAGCATAATTTGCGATTAAAGAAAGTAATCAATCAAAAAAATCACTGGAGAGCAACACAAATGTTTTGAAATACAATAAGATATTGTATTTTGATCGAACATCCTGATAATTTTGCATTTTTGCCCTAAAAAAACAAGCTCTAATAACTGATTTGATCCCTCACTGCTCTCTTTGAAACAATACATGCGTCGTCTCTGTTTCCATATCATGTCTCAACACTCTTTGTGTGTCTATGTGCGCGTACACACACACCCACAGGTGTCACTGCGGTTCTCATGGGACAATCTCAGAGGCAGAAGAGGTAACTCATACAGGGAGAGAGGGAGAGATGTTGTTTATTGTGGTCTGCCAAGTCGAGAGACAGGTCAGAACAGACTGTTCTCTCTTTGCTTCTATCGGGCTGCTGTGCCAGCCAATCAGCAGTTGGCGTTCTGCTCTGCCAGGTGGACCCGGGCATCCTGCTGCTAATGTTGCGGGTGTGAAGTTAAGTTTACAGCCCCAGAGACAGCAGCAGCAGGGAGGGGGAGACTTGTTATTGCTTTGGAGTTGGAGGCACGTCATTACAGCAGTGCCAGTTCTCTATTAAATATTAGTCATCCAGCTTTTCACTTCCCACAGGTGGGCATGAATATTGGGTTTTGATATTACTATGTCTGCTTTATCAGAGAGTCCAAGTGTGACCATGGTGTAAAAGCTACAGAAGTCCTCAGTAAACATGCACCCAAAGATGTACATGGTAGTTTATTTCTGGTTCTTTAGTTTTTGTTGTTTGATCTTGTTTTTCTTTATATGATTAATCTTTCCAATTGTCTTGAGAAAAGAACTCAAGTAACTCATCTCAGGAAAACAGGGTAAACAAAAATCTTCCACCGCCTCTACAGATTACATTTTTGACCTGTTCTTGGAAAAAAAACTTACAAGTCATCTAATGAGAAAATGAGGAAGCTCTAAAATGAAAAGAAACTTGATTGACTCCATTAAAATACCTGGATTTATATCATCAGGTTGCTGGAGGTAAACTATTCCACATTTCCTGACATAATGCAAGCAACAGTCAGAAAAACCTGTTGCACCCCGTCCAGCTTGACAATTTATGTCAGCAGGACAAATAAAGGAGCGCAGACATCCTAATCCAACAGAAGCAGATGCTTGGGGCTGGCTGCAGAAGCAACAGAAACCACATACACACCCATTAGAAAAAGCAGATCCGTACAGCAAAAATAAACGTGTTTACAGCCTGGTTTAACACAAGACTGTGGTCTGAATAACACTCACTGAACAAGGAGTGGATGTTTGCTTTGAATGGGTCCAGCTAGCTTTACTGACAGGAACTGTGACCTTCATCTATCTATACAGTCTGTGGTCTTAACTCTTTAAATGATCATAATTATAGTTGTTAATTGACACCCCCAACAAGTATCTCAGGCTGTCCAAGCTCAGAAAACCTGAATTAAACATCAGTATAGTTTGTCTTTGGCGCTTTGTTTGTTTTATCACAAAGTCAATCCTTTAAACCAGAGCCATAAAAAAAGAAAGCTCTTTTCCTATAGCCTTCTCACCTTTCTCCCTTCTCCTTTCCCTCCACCTTTCATCCTCCGCCCCTCTGTTTGAGTTAAATGAGCTCACTGGATGGACAGATTTCCTCCCCCTGCCAAACTGGGCACAAGCCAAAAGGACATTTCCGCTGTCTCTTATCCCCCTGCTCAGGGAAGCAGTTCGACCTGTCCTCTGGAATGCTTTTTAATGTGGCTCCTCGGCCTCAGCAGGGAGCAGAGTTTCAAAAGTCGCCCGAGCTAATCTGACATTTCTGAACAGAGCGTTTATGCAGAGCGAGCCCCCTGAGCCGAGTCTTCTATGTCCAGTACCAATCAGTCTGCTCACAGGGAGCGAGTGGGAATATGAGCAGAGGATGTTTGTTTTCTCCTGTGATGATGTTGGTTTGATTTATCCTTCTCTTTATTCCTCTCATCCTTTCATAACAAAAGTCCTCTGCTAGAACACCATGATCGCTCTCTCTGGTGCAGTTACATTCATTCACAACTGCAATTGAAGATTATGCAGATGAGCTGACAAATAACTCTGTTATGTAAGCAAGAAAGCCGGTAAATTATCATATTGTCAAAGTTTGACAAAGTGTCGGTTCATGAGTGATCCATGAAGTCTCTCCTCATTTGCTCAGAGTGAACTTTTTTCCCCCCATATTTAATGTCAGTTTTTCCTCTACTCTGAGCTTTGACTGTAAAAGAATGAAGAATTTTTGTTGCTGTTTGAAAGAGATTCAATTTGACATAAATAAACTGAAGGTGCAATTAGACTTTTCAACTGGAGTAATAGTGAGGAACAGGCTTCCTAGGAGCTTGTAACGGGTGGATGCAGGATTTAATGAGTTCATTTACAATTAAGCAACACTCCTCGTGCATGATTTATGCTATCCTTATGCATGCAATGAAGCTGCTTTACACCCTTTTACACTCACCAGCACAACCCTTATTTCCTTTCTTTATTCTGTCAGTAAATCCTGTTACAGGAAGGTAAAAACTGTCAGACTGCTTCGCCTGTCATCTTAGATATTCTGTTTACATTAGAGACTACAGAGAATACACCCCCTTCTATGCACCTGACAGGGAAAAAAATCACCCTGTGAGTAACAATGTGGGGAAAACCTGACCTGAGAATTTTAAGCATATGAGAAGTGGTCAGTTCTATCATGGAAGTTATGATGGCAAATATTCGTCAACAACCTTTTTTTGTGTCAAAGACAGGATGATAACAAGCTTAAAAATACATGGATGATAAAAACAGGAAAATATGCTGTTTTCATTCATGGGATGAGACAGGACATTCAAAATCCTTGTAAATAATAGGTTAGACCATAGACTGTATATAGAATAGAAGCCGTCTGCCTCCTTGCTGGGTGAAGCCACCCCAAGAACAGCACCCTCAGGTGACGGGCTGCAGTATAGGTCATAAATCCTGCCTCCTCCAGCAATCCTTATGGGGCTGTGGACAAAGTTTATAAATTAATTACACAGAACATATTTTTTTTTCCCCTCTGGTTGTGATGTTGACATGTAGTTACTGTAAGACTGGTTTGTGCTCAAGTCCTCTTTTTTCTGTGCAGCTCCATTTTTAAAAGTTATTAGGAGGTTCATGTTTTCTATGATTGACACTTGATACAGCCTACGGGCGTACGAAGATTGCATAGGTCACCTGGTTTGAGCCGAGTGTCATCACAGCGACTCTCAGCAAGTCTTCCACCAAATGCGTACAGTGCTAGTGCGCAATGTTGGTTTCAGAAAGTGGAGGAAAACCACGGAAACACAGAGAGCTTTTTGGCTTCAAATCTGTATACTGGCGGAGGGTGGAACCAAGTTGTCCGTAGTATATACAGTCTGTGGGTTGGCTTAAAGGGCAAAAAGATTGAAATGTAACCAAAACAAATTTCTGTCTCTGGACTAAATCTAAAAATAGCTGCCAAAAGGAGCATGGTGTGAAAAGACCTGAAGTGGGAGAGTTACCAGTCCAAGATGACTTTTCTTTCTTTGTCAGTCTCCTCAAGCTTAGCACTGCTCAGTCAGCTCCATGTGCAGTCAGTGCTGGACGCCAGTATTTCAGTATTTTTAACCTTTTAGTCTTACGTAATATCTGTACTCCTATTGATGTGCCTGATCGTGAATCTCTTTGTTTGTATCTTTCATGCTCTAGTGTTTGTGCATGTAGAGACCACTTGATCCCTTTAAAGGGTCACCAGTTTTGCAGTTGCTGTGTTTGTTTATATGTTGAATCGTGTTGCACTGAGCTTTTCTATTGGCTCTATCAGGAACATTTACCTTCAAGAACAATGGAGCTTATTTAGGAAGTCAGCAGAGTACTTCTTATCTATGACAGTATCAACACCTCAGCCATCATTATTAGGTATGACTGACTTTGTCTTTCAAACATAGGTCGTATAGATTCCAGGGATGTGACATATTTGAAGATCACAGGAAAGTTCAACACAAGAAGCAACAATGGATACAGTTGTGGGGTCATCTCTCTTGCAGCGTCTCAAGGGTTTAAACCTCCAAAGCTTTTCGACAAAGCTTTCATATCCCTCTGTAACATTAAAGATTCATGACTTACTAAGCTATAAACAAACTTGACATGCAGAAAACATGTTTTAATTAATTATTCATCAAGACACAGGAGAAATTGTGCATATAAAACCTCTGCTAAGACAGAAACAGAACAAAGACTTTCAAAAGCAACACAACAAACTCTGAAAAGACCTTTTAGCAGCCGTGTTTGGATGGGCCTTTTTTAGAGCACACTCAATTTTTCACTGTGATGAAAATATATTATTGAATACAATTACCGTAGACTTTAATCCCACTGCTCCCTCTGTGCTGGTTTCAAATGCTTTCATAGCCGAAGCAGCAGAATTTGCATGACAGTATCAGCTGTCATTACAGTCATGCTGGAGGCTGGGATCAGAGCGTGAGTCTGTAATTTGGTTCATTGTCACACGCACACACACATGAAAAGATCCTGTTTGACACACTGCCTTTAAAAATGAAGCTTTAATGACTTGGATCATATAATTACATTTTACAGTATGTCTGTCTGTCAAACAGAGGAAGGTGCTGTGGATTTTTATCAAAGACATATTATTAAGAAAGCAAGTGTACGAATAATCTTGTTTCTTTAATTTAAATGCCTTTACTTCAAACAGACACAGTGTTTATATTCCTCAGCTGTACTTTTTTATGTGAATTAAAGTTTTATAAAAATTTAAGAAAATTGATATGGCATAGTTTTTAAACTTTTGTGGAACTGTTGCATCTTTACACTTACATTAAACAGTGAAATACTTCAAGGGTGCACTCATGTAGCCTTAGATAAGTGTAGCCACACAAACTTCATCTGGAGCACAAAGCCTGTAATACATACACGGTCCACTTTGTCTGGTGTGTGCAGTATTAACTGTATATCACACCGTTGATCAGTGTTTCTGCTCTATGCTCTGCTATGATGTTGCATGTGAGCTGTTTTGAATAGAAGAATTTGCATGTAAAAACAAATGCAACAAATGTAATCAAGACACAAATACTGTCAGCCTCTGTTTGTTCATAGTATTACCGTTCTTGATTTTAAAAATTCATTATTTAGCCTTATTTTTAAAAATAATTTCCATCTTAAGTTTGTCTGATTATCAACTCAAAACATGTTTATAATTCCATCCCATGACCACTCGAGTCTGGTGATTCAATCCTCTTGTTGGGTCTCCAAACTCTTCCTCTATCCCCATAAGCGGTTGATTTCAGTTCGGCACCAAACATTTTAGGCTTTAACTTATGAAAGTTTGCACAGTTCATACGTTAAAGCCTAAAAGTATCTGGACTTTTTCCTGCTAAGCTTGGGCAAAGTTTCTTTTGAAATCAGGATGAACTGCTGCAGGTAAAAGTCAGAAAAGTTTGCTCATAGTAAGTGCAAGTGCAGATGTTCATATTAAGAAGGCTGCTTCTCTGCCCAGTTTTGCCTCACTTGTCTCTCTTATGTGTTTTAACAGTTTCCATCATAGTTTATATCATGGAAACATCCTTACACATGTTGTAGCGAAGTTATCACGGAAACAATCACCATCATGAAAAACTCCTTCTCTCCTGCCTGAACCACTCAGCTGCACTCCCTTACTTAAACAAAGCAGTATTTATTTATGTCCTCTTTAAGTATTTTAAAGGCAAATGATAGGGAAAATCTCCTGGGGTACATGTGTGTGAAATAGCATGTTTTTGAGTAAAAAAAATCAGAGCTTTACTGTCCTGAAATTATTCTAAAGAAGCACTGTACAATAAAACAGGAAAAAGGAAGAGAGAGAGAGAGAGAGAGAGAGGTGACATGGGAAAAGAGGAAAGAACCAGGGCCATCCACTTGAGACATAAACCTTTGAATATAGATTTGACAACAGTAAAGGTTGAACCCCTTTTTACTTGATTTTATATTTAAGTCTTAGGATGAGGTTCTGATCACTTCTGCTTAACAACCATCACACAGTGTAAGATATCATTTGGATAAAAATAAAGTCAGCTTCAGCCTGTTGAAGAGCTGCTGACTCACCAGAAGTCAAGTCATCACAGTTTGAGTGTCTCCTCAACACAAGAGTCAAACTTGATTCAAAACCAAAGAAATGTTGTAGATTTGAGTACAGTCGTCTGTTTTCAGCTTCACTCTAAGTCACATCTGATCCTTACACTGAGTCACACGTTCTCAGCCCTGTTACCGCCATGTCACCATGTCCTCCAGCTTTCCCCATTCTGCGAAAAAATAAGAATAGGGTTGCTATAGAGACAGAGCCGGAACGTTGTTTGTCGTCGGGGTGACGTTTGCCAAGAGGGGCCGAGGGCTCAGCCAATCACAGGCGTTATTAAAGGCAAAGCTGCTATTTTCGGTACCAGCCGTGGCATTACTCAGCAGAGTGCAGCAAAGTCAGACATACACATTCCAGCAGTGTGTCTGTGTGTGTGTCTTTGTGTGTGCTTGTGTAGAGATAACATTTAAGGTGACTGGTAAGGATTTTTCCTGCATCCTGTCATACTGCAGACATCGTCACTGTGGTACTCAAGCTGCATACACAACGGGGAGTGTGTGCGTATGTATGTGTGTGTGCGTTTATGTCAAATGGCTGTGGCTGATCAAGTGCTTCATTCACAGTGAAATTCACAGAAAGGAGGATTTAGATAAGCTGGAGTTAATTAAACTGTAGATTTTTCCCCTCTGAACACAAGCCAGATAGCAGAGGTTATTTATGTAACAGCTTTTGCTGTTTCAGCACCACAGCACCGCTGATGAACATGCAAACTAGGCTGGCAAGATGTGATAAAACAAGTCTATAGAGTGTATTTACATTGTTCAGTGTTGAAATAATCAAGTTCAATATATTCACAAATATTTAAGAGTGCATGGAGTTATAACTCTTACTCTCTCTGTTTATCTGCTGTCTTATGTTAACCTTAACATCAAAATGAACCAAAAAGGGTCTTGGAACAGAGGACAGGGTTTAGCTTTTCAAGTATTACACAAAGAAAAAGGCATTTGTAAGTCTCTAACTGGTTTTAAAATATATTTTATTCATTTTCTATTTGTTAAAACTTTCACACCAGGTTTAGACATTTACAGAGGGCATCTGTTACTCAGAGGAAACTAGTTAACCTTTACCGTTACACGCAAATACCTGTAATTCAGATCTCATTAGCCAACACGTCTGTGAATAAACTTGGATTTTGTCACGTTTTCAGCGCTGAAAGGTTTCTGTTTATCCACAGGTGAGGGTAACAAAGGGGGTTATGTGGGTGAGTTAGATTTCAGCCACCACTGAGATCAGGTGATAGGCTAAGTTGCTCTCCACCTCGAATATATATAAGCTCAGGTTACCGTGCTGTTAGTTTGTCTACTTAGCCAACAAATACCATATTGATTAGAGAGACATCCTCACTTATAAGACAGCATCCCTCTTGGTTTGCCTCACTGTAGTTGTCAGCTGGCTGTGCTCCTCAGAGGAGGGCAGGAGTGTATTTCTTATCCGCCCCCATCTTCTTTGTTAACTCTTCCTCCTCTCAGCTCCTCAGTTACATAACTGCTCAACTTATGTAATAAAATTTAACCGCAGCAGCTGATGACATAAGTTCTGTAAAGCATTTGTATCATTATAAGATTTGGAAATCACATTAATATGCTCAGCCATCTGTTGTGTTGCACTCGGATTAAAGTGTCTGTTTGGTGGTTTGTTGCCCTGAGAACTCTCAGAGTTCAAAGCCGCAGCGCAGAAACTCCTGAAGGTGCTGCGATTCTGTGTTATCTACTGTTGATGATCAGTTCTCTGCCATTTGGGAGTGATTACCAAAAGGAGAAAAGGCTGTGTGAGATAACAAAAACAAGTTCTTCTGTGGAGATGCTCACCATGAAAATAAACCTCCTGTCTGTTATTTTAAGATTTACGCACACACTCCGGTGCTCTTCAACCTCAAGTCTGAGTCCATGTTGACTGTGTTACAATAAATCATGCTGATAGACGGTCCTGTATTTTTCAGTGGAAGTTAAAGGAGAAACCCTAAGTGGACATGCATCTATGAATTTGATGTGATAACGAGTTAATGAGTTGTTTTCTCAAGATCTCGACTCAACAAAAATGACCAGAGTGATTATAGCGTGTCTCCAGATTTGCAAAAGCTCAATGCAAACTTATAATAGGCCTAACTTACTTAACTATTGCAGGCAGAGGCAGCATTGCATGTGAAAGTCTAGTCTCTCATACTAACCAGCTTTTATTTTGTGTTCCAGATCATCAGAAATTATCTTGACAGCAAGAGTAAACTGGCATTGCTATAAGAGATAAATAGTTTGAAATCTCCTGATTACGACCAGAAACAAACTTGCTACCAATAGAAAACAGAGAGAATAAATAGTGAGTTGTGTTTCATAGAGAGCGCTGCTCTGATGGCTATTATTGTGTCATTCATTGCAGTTCTGTGGTCATGTCTGGAGTCATGTTGACATTATTTTAAATGCATGGACCAGGCGCTCTGATGCAGACTACAAATGCATTATTAAGTACATTATGTACACAGAGTATGAAAATACAAGACTTTCCTGTGAGTTCTAAGGCTGTATATAAACTAATAGTATGGCCAGTTTCAAAGTGAAACAGGTGATAAAACTACAACTGCATGTTTTTAGCATGTTGTGTTCCTCACATACATCTTTTTTTCTTATTGTAAACCTCACATGACTCCCAAATGTGCTTTCAAATGCGTCCTCATACTCAGGCTGTTAAAATAAATTAGTTTCATATCATTTAAGCTTGGTTTTTATATTTTTAAAGGAGGATTTTAGACATATTTATGTTTGTGTTTTTCTGTGTTATTTTGCTGTGAGCCAGGAAAACAACGGTACATTCTCTGTCACCTCTGAATTTTTGTTATCACCAAGAAAAAGATGAAAACAGTGAACATTTGAATCTTAATCTGATTTCATTTTTATCTTTCAGAATTCAAAGAGTGCTCAAGGCCTGGTGGGACTAAAGAACCTTGGAAACACTGTAAGTATAACCTGTATGTTTCTTTGTTTTTATTTTTGGGTTTACACTGACAGGAGTTTGTTGAGTTCACACAAAATCTATCTACCAGGTAACAGGCAGGAGAGCAGCTCTTAAAATAAGTGTGTGTTGATGTTAGTGAGCACACAGTAACCTAATCAGCGAGCCCTGAACTATGGACCAGGGCAAACTCACTCTCTCTCTGAGACTGGTTTGATCTTACCAGATTGCACGTGTCTCATGTTGACACGTGAATGGTGCTGAGTATACACAGCACTGTCTCTGACAACATGCCTCCATGTGTGCGATACCTCACCATTATCAATATTTACGCAGCGGCTCTTACTCTTTCTTTTGAGAGGTGTTAAGAATTCAGAACAACAATTTTTGATCCAGAAAACATATTTTTTTCACTTCAGAATTCTGTCGTTATGTTGTCAAGAAAAATCTCTGGTTTAAAGACCCACTCCGATGAAAATCATGTTATCCCAGTTTTTTAACATGTTTATGTGGCATTTTTCCGATGCTACAGGACATATCATGAGAAAAATAAGCGTGAAATTGCATTTCTTAGTATTTCTGCATTCAAATCACTGTGAACCTCTGGCAAACCCAAACGGCAGATTTAGATACAGTGAGATTTCCTATGTCATAAATCCAAGCTCCGCCCCCAGAGCCCCCCTATGCAGGCCAGACCCCTGAGAAATAGAGAGGACGATCGTGGATCAAGCGTCTACGTTAGCTGATTGCAGTACTCTAAGAAAGCTAATTATGATATATCAGATTTCATCATGTCCCCAAAGACATTAGTGTCCGAGAGCTGAATAGCTCCTATGTTACCTGCCACTTCTACTACCACACCAGCAAAGTTAGGTTGCAAGCTAGTGTGAAAATAAGTGTGCAGAGCAGCACTGTCTCTGCCCACGACTCAGAGGTGAATTGCTAATAAGATACTGGAGCTCTGCAGAAAAAAAGCCCTTGAAAAAGACACAGGTAAAATGATTTTGGCTAAAAACTTCATAATCACAATTTAAAGACCACTGAGAACACTTTCAGTAGTAAAAAAAAGATTCAGAGTGGGACTTTAAGAAGCAGACCAGAAATTTAAGCCCAACAGAAAAACAATACCTCTTATCTTTGTGTGCGTCAGAAAACTTTGAAACACTAAGGCAGGGTAATTGTTTTCAAAGAGAGACATAACACATTGTGACATTGTGCTTAGTTCAACTCAAGGGATTGCTTGTGCTGGATAAAGAAACATTGTGATTCACAAACCCTTTAAAAAAAACAGAGAATATTGTTTTCTAAACTTTTGTTTTGGAACAAGAAAAACTGATAAGATGTTCTGAAATATTGCAAGTATTGATGCCAAGCTATGCTCCTAAGGTTCAAGTCTATCTTTGGTGTTATGTACAGATTAAACAGGGTGTCTAGTCCTGATAAATCAGGGTTAGTATATCCAGTCTAAATGCAAAGCTAAGCTGCCTCACTGCAATCTACAAACTCAGCTTCTTCCAGTCTTGCATTTTATGATTAGATTGATGAATCCATAGACTGTCTATTTTAAGTTTCCAGGCTGCTCATAATGAAAGTTTGATTCCTTTGATAAAACACAGGTGAAGTCTTTCTCCTAGTTCTGATTGTTTATGCTGAGCTAAATTTGCTGACTGGGCTCTACGGGATTCTGTAATCTGTGTTTCTATTTTTAGCACTGATGCTAAGCTATGCTAACGGAACACACGCTTTTAACCAAAGATAAAACAAATAAACCAAGAAATGTTGATTTTTTTTGTGTTGTAATTGTGCAGATAAGTTGATTTTGTTTCGTTGTGAAGAGCTCGGTATTTTTTTTCTTTTGCTTCTCGGCTTACCGGCTCTTGCCTCCAACCTCAGCTTGTCATATTTTAATTTCTCTCCCTTGGCTTATACAGACACATGTGCACAGTAATAGTTTGAGAGCTTAAGAGTTGGCAGACGTGGGATTTTGTTAGTTTTCAGTGAAAAGACAAGAGTGTTGTTTCTGTCTTCTCAGTAAACCACACCTTTAAAGTTATCAAGGCTGTGTTTAGAACCTTCATCTATCCCTTTAATTACATGGGGAGGATTAACATTAAGAGCAAAGAGGACAAACATTTCCAACAGTGGTGGATTATTTCATCTTTAAATAAGTGTTTTTCTGTTACACCATAGGAAGAAGACTGAACAGCTGATAGATTTGAGGCTAAACTTGACGTTGTCACACTGTCATTGATCTGTTTCTGATGTTTCTCTCTCCCCTTACAGTGTTTCATGAACAGTATCCTGCAGTGTCTCAGCAACACACAAAGCCTGCGAGACTACTGCCTGCACAACTCGCACCGCAGAGACCTTAACAACAACAGCCGCACCAACACAGCCCTCATGCAAGGTGAGAGACGTGGCGTTCAGGCCCTCTGGAGTCTAAAACACACACTGCAACACACTCAGTCCCTCTCCTCTGGATCTAACTGCACCTCAGGGAGTTGGTGTGGGAGACTGTTGGGACTCGAAAAGAGGTTTTCTGTCTTTAACTTGAGAGCGTACAAAATCTGCCTTTGATGCACACTTGTCTATCAGATCCAGCATTAGCTTGTTTTCTTTGGTCTGCAGCTAACGTCTGGGGCAGCATAACAAGGGAGAGGAAAACTTGTTTACAAAAATATTATGTCATTTCACATTTTGTACCACCACAGGCTGTTGCCTCTGATTTTCCAGTGTGTGAGTAATTTGGTTATTTGTGTCGTGTCAGAATTTGCCAAGCTGATTCAGACCATGTGGACGTCGTCCAGCAGCGAGGCGGTCAGCCCGTCTGAATTCAGAACTCAGGTCCAGAGATATGCACCCAGATTCGTCAGATACAGGTAGGCTCTGTTTCTCTCTTTCACTCAGATGTTTATCATCTTGACGTGGATTTTTATGAACACTGTGTCAGCTCATATTTACATGACTGTGAGAGAAGTAGTCTAAAACAATCAAACATTGGTTAATACTTCTGTTTTCATGTCCTGCAGCCAACAGGACGCTCAGGAGTTCCTGCGCTTCCTCCTGGATGGTCTTCATAATGAGGTCAACAGGGTTACCGTCAGGCCGAGGGGCACAATGGAGGACTTTGACCACCTGCCGTAAGTGACCTACTATACAGACACAGTGTGTGTGTGTGTGTATATATGTGTTTGTGTTTATGTGTGCCTGTACTAACACCTTTCTGTAATGTAAACTATGATATACAGTATATGTACTGTTTAACTAAAGCAAGTTGTCTGCCAGTAAAAAAGGACAGAATTTAACTTCCAGGATTTTTCAAAGAAATAAGTCTTTTCAGAGAACACACACAGATGTTTAAATAGGGTGCAGCAAAAATTAGGAACAGCTCAGATTGTGGCCGCCAAGTTGAACTCTCTGTCAACTGAGGTTATTTCTGACTCATTTTCTGAGCTACATCACTGATGTTGACGTTGAAAAGCAGAACCACAAACTGATTCCCAAAATAACAACTTCAGCTTCCTCCTGTAGGACGGTGTTAAACTTTATTTAACACTCAGTCAAACCAGAACAGTGTGAGCACCATGGACTGTATGAAAAACCTGTATGTATGTATGTGAAGCGATGTCAGTCATTGGTTTCAAATGACGGATTGTGGAACAAAATGACTGTGGTCATCATTTTAGAAATGCTTACTCAACCTGACCCAGAAACAGACAAAGAGGCGGAGTTTAGGTGGTTTAATTTTCAGTTTAATAGCTACAAAATTAAAATTTGTTTATGGAAGAAGAAATGAGCTTTCCAGACCATTCAGGGATTTGAAACTGCTGACTGTTGTCGTCAGTTTGTCCTCGTCTGTCTTGTCTGTCTGATGTCCTAACAGTCTAAAGTCTCACAGGTTCTCCACATTCAGGGATGAAGAGAAAGGGAGGAAGATGTGGAGCAAATATCTGGAGAGAGAAGACAGCAAGATAGTGGGTAAGTGATCACACGTCAGGATCAAAGTTAATGTATTTTCAAGAACCTGATACTCTTTACCTAAGGAATACAATTTGCCTGAGATCAATGGAGCGGTCTTTAAATGTGATATTTTTATCAGCCTTGTGTCTAGACTCTTTGTGGTGAGGTGGGTGAAACCCAGACACTCTAATTCAATAAAAGTCTAAATAAAAAACTGAATAATTCTTCCTCTTTTCTCTTGTGCCGTTATGATTATATTAGACCTGTTTGTGGGGCAGCTGAAGAGCTCTCTGACCTGCAGGCACTGTGGTTTCTGCTCTACTGTCTTCGACCCGTTCTGGGATCTGTCTCTACCTATCGCCAAGGTAAGAAAACTCACACACACGCACACACACACTCACACAGATAAACATACACATGCGGATGAGAGATCCTCACATAGCCACTCACAGACGGACAGGTGGTTCAGAGGTGACTCTCCTTGTCTGTTCATTTACTGTCGATAAGGTTGGGCTGAAATGTTGCCGTGTTTATATCCTGCTGTGTGTGTTTTGTGTGTCGTTGCTTGCGTATTGCTCATATGGATACATCTCTTGTTTGTGTGCAGACGGGTTACTGTGAGGTGAGTCTGATGGACTGCATGCGGCTCTTCACCAAAGAAGACATCCTGGACGGGGACGAGAAGCCGGTAAGAACCAACAGAAAGCAGATCAGGATCAGCTTCATGTTGTAGATTTGAAAGTATCTCAGCTCGGACTGATGTTACACCTGTAGCCAAAGCTAGCAGATGACACTCTAGTATTGTGATTACACCTGAGTGACTTGAGCAGATGTGGGTCATCGCAGTCTTTGGGTTGGAAACTATCAACTGTATCTGGCAACTCTAGACATGCTCACGTGGATAATATTTCTTTATTTTCATCCACATTATTGCGATTGAAGATATTGGTTTAAATATTTACTTGTAATGGGGCCTGACATTTACATACACCTGTTTACCTGTACAGCTGTGCCTCAAGCACAAAAAGATGTTATTCCACCTTGCACCCATTTCCTCTTCAGGTCTGTTATGAGATAAAATGATGAGAGTACTTGACATAATACAACGCCCCGATGGGAGGAATGTACACATACAGACCAGCTGAAAAGAGGTCCAAGATAAAGACTTTCCTGGTTTAATAGAGGGGATTAATATTATTAAGAATACTATTAGACCATTTATGGCTTTTCAGACAGTGAGGAGTCAACATGCATGGAGCAAAGGAGAGGCTTTAAATCACTGCTCCAGAGTCGACGCTGTTTTTTTTTATTGGTTTGGATTCCTTTGTGCATCTGGCGGCTGGTACACTCTGAACTTACTATGTGTTTTGTCTCCACAGATGTGCTCCAGGTGTGAGGTCAGGAGGGTTTGTGCGAAGAAGTTCACGATACAGAAGTTCCCCAAGATCTTAGTGCTGCGTATCCTTTCCCTCTGAACATGAGTGTGTGGTAACGTTGTGTTAAAATCAACATAAAAGTGAGCTCAGAGAGTGTGTTTACAGTTTGGAAACGCTGCCATGTGGAATGAAAAGTCTGAAAGAAGACATGGCAGAGACAGTGTTAGGTGAATCTACTGACAGGTTCACATGGTTCAGTTTTCCCTTGACTCCTCATCTTCCTGCCAGACCTAAAGCGTTTCTCTGAGGGGCAAAGAACCGGAAAACTGTCCACCTTTGTGAACTTCCCCGTGGCAGATCTGGACCTGCGGGAGTTCGCCTCTCAGAGCAGCAGTAAGTTCTGTGTTCTGTGTAGTTCACCCAGTTTTTAGTGGAGAATCAAGCTTGTGTTCGAAATTTCCAGGCACCAGGGACCAAGTGTTGAAAACTCTGTGAAAACATAAATTTATAAGATCTTTTAGCTGCACATTAAGATGTTTAAAAAACTCTTTTAAACAAATATTTTTGTGTTCAAATTCCTTTTTCATTGTCTAATTTATTCATTAATTTTATTCGGACTGTTAAAAGTTAAGAGCAAGTTTCCACAGAGATTTAGAGAGAGCCAGCTGAGTCAAAAACATGGTTTAGACTTAACAAATCCTGTAATCTCACTTCTTACACAGGATCAGCTGTTTGAGTTGTAATGTTCAGAGCTTGTTCACTCTTGTGCGGTTGTTTCAGAGAAGGCGTGACTGCAGGCTGAACGTTTGTTTGTGTCTTTGCAGTAAACGCAGTGTACAACCTGTATGCAGTGTCCAACCACTCAGGCACCACCACAGGAGGGCACTACACGGCCTACTGTCGCAACCCCACCAACGGAGAGTGGTACACCTTCAATGACTCCAGGTAGCTTTGAGCATCATCATGGTCTCTGTTTTATGATAAAATGATACAGTTCACTACATCCATGACAAAGAATTTCACTTTTGACGGAGGATTTGACAACGTATCAACGAATCACCAGCATCTGACCGATTATCTGTTGTTTCATTTGTCTTTACTGATGACTGATTCACATATTAATCAAACTATACTCTACTTCAGCTTCACTGCTGGTGTGTCTTTGCTCTTGGTCTGTTTTAGCTGATTCAGATATTTATATGAAATAAGAGCTGCAGTTCACTGATATGTTGATGTGCTTTTATCACAAAACAGAATAAAGTCAGTCTACATGAGCTCCATTTTTTAGGAAAGGTGGGGGCAATTCATTAATGTGTTGATGCATCATGACAATTCGGCATCGATTAATTAACGGCAGAGCTTAAAATTAATAAATAATAACGATGATGTTTTGCCGCAAGACCAGAACAAAGAAACACATAACTGGAACCTTAGTGTGCGCGCCGCCCAGACTGTTTAGTGAGTAGGACCACAACAAACAGAGCACATTAGTTTCTTTGAAAAATGACAACAGCGTGTGGAAGTACTTTGGATTTTATGAGAGAGCAAACAAGACGACTGACAAGACCTACGTGATTTGCAAGATTTGCAAAGCAAAAATAAAGTACCTCAGCGACACCTCAAACATGAGGCAGCACCTTATACGCTTTCATCTCTGTTTATGCCCGCCACACAGAGGACCATCCTACACGATAGATATATACAAGTCGAATGTTCAGAAAACCTTATTTACTTATTGAGTGTAGTTTTAGAGGAACTGAGTTGATTGATATGCTATTTATGTACAAATGTAGCCACAGATGAAGACAAAATCAATCTTGTATGGAAAAAAGCATTAAAAATGGCAATAATCAAAGAATTGTGGCACCAATAATCAAATTGAATCGCCAATCATTATAATCCAAGAATCAAAGCTCCCATAATCAAATTGGATCATGAGGTGTCCTTGTTGGAACACTCCTAATTTTTACTATACCAAAAACATACTTGTCATATCCAGTATCTGTTTCTGCCCTGACCGATATCAGTCAGGCCTTTAGCTTTGACTCCTCTACAACATAATCCTTTGGTTTTAGTGTAACTGTTTTGTCTCTTTCTTTTCTCCATCATCATCCTTGTCTCCAGAGTAACGCCCATGTCCTCCTCCCACGTGTGCAGCAGCGACGGCTACGTCCTCTTCTACGAGCTGGACGAGAAGCTTGCCGGTGGACGACGGCTCTGACCTGATGGATTAAAATAATTGTTTTTTAAAATAAGTGTTGATGGAGACAAACCTGCTCTCGGCTTTTACTTGGACTTCTATCACACACCAATTTGAACACACACACACTCACACACTCACCCACCAGCCTGGAGCCTCTGGAAACCACAGGAACCTGATCAACCAGCCCTGCTCTCTCTCTCTCACTTTGTCTGTACTCTGGTGTCGTTCTCCTTCTGGGTGGAGGTGTGTGAGTTTGTGTGTGTGTGTGTTTGTGTGTGTGTGTGTGTGTGTGTGTGTGTGTGTGTGTATGTGTTGTGTGTATGAGTGAGCGAGGCTGACACAGGGCAAAGATCCCACACGATGGACAGCTGAATCTCCATCTCAGAAGCCCCTCTCTATGCACTGCAAACCGAACTCTCATCCCGACCGCGCCTTTGCTTTGTTTACTTCGACTCGATCTTCTCGTTTGCCTCGAATTGTTTAAAGTGACATGTCGCAAGTTTTTTTTTTTTTTGCTTTGAATTTATCTCGTTTTTACGTTTTAAGGGGTGGGCAGGGTCATGACAACATCATCATCATCGGACTGCTCATGAATTTTTACAGTCCACTGGCCTGCTCGCACTCTAACACTCCCACGTCTCTGTCGGCGTCTTCATCACTCTTCTTCTTCTTCTAAAGTGGTCGGGGGGCCCGTGGCACTGTGAGCGTCACATGATTCAGAGGTTGGTGCCTCGGTCATGTGTTTTATTTAATTTGTTTCTCCCACGTGTGGCTGCTACTGATGTTTTTAAAGTGCTGTGAACGGACGGATGGAGCGTCCGGTGCAGATCTGCAGAGGATTTATGACGTGATAGCAGCAACAAAGCTCATCGTCAGCATGGGGTCTTTTCTTCCTCTCTTGTTTCATGCCATTGAACAACACAGAAAGAATGTTTTAAAGACAAATAAAACACACTATATCTGTATATTTTTATATTCTGATGCAATATAGAGAATGTACTATTCAATGGTGCTGAAAATTGACCCATAACTGTTTTCAGTCGGTTTTATTTCCCACCTTTCAAGAGAGAGAAAAAAAGTTATTATTTATGCTAACAGGTGATAATGTGATGAGTCACACTTTTTAGCAGTGGCAGTCAAACACATGAGTATATAAATATAAATATATATATGAATAAAAGTTAAAACAGCTCTACTTTGAGTCCTTGTCTTATTTCACTTATTTTAGTGACAGATTCTAGGCTGTGACTGAAAAATTGATGGAAACAGAGAGGGAATCAAAAAATAATTCATGAAGGAAAAATTCTGCTCTGTGAAAATGAACCGAGAAAGAAGAAAGTCCAAATGGGGGCCAGGACGAGAGTGAAGCTGAATCTGGAGCTGCAGAATCACTATGAGGATTTCATCAGGTTTGGCCGCCCTTAGTGCCCTGGTGTCCACGTTTTTAGAAGAAATCCTCTGAGATAGAATCTGTATTTAGGATATTCTCACAGCATAAGGAACAAGTCTTAAAAATACATGTTACTGTGAATATGTGAATATTAAGGCTGGGTCACATGAGAGGAGGCTTTTCCTACTGTATATTTTAAGGTTTTTCCAAGAGGTTTTTTTATAACTGACATGCTTTGTGCAAGAATGCATATCTTCCCCACTCGTTACCGCCCAACAACCTGTCTCTTTAAAGCTTTCTTAGCCCTCCAAAAAAACTGCTCAAAAAATGGAACATTGTGAAAAACATCTTTAGATAGATATACTCTTATATTAATTACATATTAAGTATAATATCTCAAGGCTTTATTTGATTTAACTTTGATGATCTCAGCTCATAGCTCATGAAATCAGGAATCCAGCATCTCAGATAATCAAATCATTTTTCAGATGGTTTTAGAAATGGATCTAGAATAAATACACACATCAAATTTATCAGGTTAAAAGTTTTGATAATAGTTGAAATGCAAAATCAAGAGACAGAATATTTAACTACCCAAAACTAGCTACAAGAGTTAGCTAGTTTAGTTAGCTAATTTTCCAATCTTTACTCAAGCTGTTGCTGCAGTATTACACTGTTTTATGTCATCTGACCTCATGGGTGTTTGCTCTGGGCGTTTTTTTTTTCACAGGTGTAACTTCTCTGGAAATTCTCTGCTGTGAACTTTGAAACTGTTACTGATTAAACCCTGCAGCCTGGCCCCGTCATTACAGCACATGTCAAGTTTAAAGTGTGGATGTAATATTTGCCACAAATCAGCTCTGAGCAAACAGAAACAGGAAGTCTACTCAAACGGGGAAACACTGTATATAAGAGCAGATGCCTATAGGGAGAGATTTCAGTCGGAGTCTTTGACCCACATTCTCACTGTGGATTTGAGAACCAGGAAACTCTACATGGCTACTGCGATCGGTGAGTTATTACCTTTATTTTAATGAATGTTTTTAAGAGATAATGTAATGTAGGATCATAAAGGTTTGTTATGTACAGAGAAAAGCAGCTCAGGTCATGTGGTCATGCTACTGCTGGGTGAGAGAAAAAGTGGGAAGAGCTCAGCAGGAAACACCATCCTGGGAAGACCGGCCTTTACAAAAAACACGACTCACAGCACCAGAGAGATTGGCACCATCTTCAGAAAACAAGTAAATACACAAGTTGACACCAATTTAACTCTTTCTTAAAACTTTTCATTATTTTATTATCTCTATTGTATTCCTTATTCTATATTGAGTTTATTGTTGCTAAGAGTTATGATTAAATTTGTGTCATCGGTCTTTACTCAATTTGATCCACCAGGTGACCGTGGTTGACACCCCAGGATGGTCCCCCAATTCCACCACTCCACACAGAGTATCCCAGGATGTCTGCACAAGTCTGACCCTCTGCAAACCAGAGCTCCACGCCATCCTTCTGGTGCTGCCCACCACCTCTGCCTTTGGAAAAGAGGAGTGGAGGGCCATGGAGGATCATCTCAGACTGCTCCAGACCCCCATCTGGTCACGAGCCATGGTCCTCTTCACACACGGAGACAAACTGGGTAAAATAAAAATTATTTACTCATGTTGGATACTTCTTTTACTCACTGTTAATGAGTGGTGTCCAGACAGCTTGCCATATCATACACCTGATTGTTTATTCATATTCACTTTGTTTTGGGGCGTTCAGCACCAAGGTCCCAACACAAGAGGGATCGCTAACATCATTGAGTCTATGGTAGATTTTGTATTTGAGGAACTCCTTCGGGGAAACTAAAGAAACTGGGTTAAAACTACTGTGAGAGCTCTTCGGTTTACGATAAAGGCCTTTTTTACCCACTGAGATCAGCTTGAAATCAGGATCAGGCATAAATAGATGGGAGTAATTTGACTGACTTCTCCTTTAGTTTGAGGTCTTAGGGATAGATTAACAAGAGGTTTTAGGGTCTGTATGTATTTCTTTCTTTCTGGTTCCATTTCATCTAGCATTTAAAATCATTAAAATATGGATCTGTAGAAAGACCAACTTTAATGCCTCTTGCAACATGGCTCTTCACAAACATACTGCACTGCATTGTTTCTTTTCCTACCAACATGTAACAATGGCAATATATATACCTGAAAAGTAATGCCGATACTGCCATCTAATGGCTAGGAAAGACAGTGATTCCAAATGAACCATTATTGCAATCGGTTGTTACAACCAGATTCCCTAAAATGTAATTTGTCCAGACCTCTGCTCTTCTGGCAAGATGATTGATCCCTTGGTGCCATCAATAATATAGAAAGGGCCTTAGAAGTGCTCTCTTCAATGTCGGTAGTGTAAATAAAACATTACAGGAGGGCCTTTTTATATGGAAACCATATAAAAAATGTTCTACTTAATGCCCTTCCACAATGGAAGAAAATGTAGAATAAGTGCCCTCTGGATGCTCTTCCAGAATATAAAACATAACCAACAAGTTTCCTGGTCGCTCCTCAGCCTTTCAGGTTTAGACAAAGTCCTCTTTAGTTGCTTTCATAAGCAAAAATTGTAAACAAAGTGCCCCCTGGTTGCCCTTGTAATGTATAGATTGTTTGAAAAAAGTCCCCTCATGCTGTGTTTTTGTCATAAAATTGTAAATAATGTGCCCTCTGGTTGCTTTTTCAGTGCAGAAATTTTAAACAAAGTGCCCTATAGTTGATCTTTCATTGCAATAGTTATAAACAACTCTCCCTCTGGTTGCTCTTTTAGTTAAAAAAATTGTAAACAAATTGCCCTCATTTTGCCCTTTTACAGCAAAAATTGTGAACACCATGCCCTCTGGTTGCACTTGAAGTGCAGAATTTGTCAACAAAGTGCCCTCTGCTTGTGTTTTTTTTAGTGCATAAATGAAAATTACAGTTATCAGTTGAGTATGCAACTGATAACTGCCATGTGTCTGCTTGTAGCAATGTCAAAAAAATCTGAACAACACTTTTTTTTGTTCTGTTTGCTTTTGTTTCTGTTTAAGGTGTGCCTATTGAAGAGCACATAAGGCAACAAGGGAAGACTCTTCACTGGCTGCTGGAGCGATGTGCAAACAGGTACCATGTTATGACCAACCAACCCAGTACCATAAAGGCAGAGGTCACACAGCTCATGGAGAAGATCCAGAGGATGCTGGAAACTACCCCTCCTTCCTGGGAGATCCGAAACAAACAGTACACCAAGCTGAGACAAGAGAGTATGGAGGGGTGGAGGGGTTGGCAGGGAAGACAAGAAGACATGGAAATGACAAATGTGTATGATTTATGTGACGACATGCCAGGACTAGCACGGCAGAGAGCATCAGGTAAATATGTCCTTGTATGTCTAAGTGATATAGTGAAATTATCCACTAGTTTGTGAACCTCCCTGCCCCATTACCAGCCTACAACAGCGGCAACTTGTATATTACTAGTAGTCAAGGTGCCAAATGAATAGCACAATACTCTGAAGCCCATCCATGAACAAGTTCTTGTACTGTTTATATTTACTGTGTTCTCAGTTGGCCCTGGATGTGCTCTGTCATTCATCCTGCTGGGGAGGAAGAAGTCAGGGAAGAGCTCAGCAGGCAACATCATCCTAAACAGAGAAAAGTTTCAGGTCCACCAGTATAGACAGACCAGCAAGTCCTCCGTTGGTCATGGGACAGTGTCAGGGCGAGCTGTCACAGTGGTGCTTACCCCTGGGTGGAGTCTGTTTGGTCTGTCCAATGTGAAGGAGGTCAAGGCAGAGATAGAGCAGAGCCCTTCTTACTGCCCTGAGGGAAGCAAAGTGACATTCTTGCTGGCCATACCAGTGGACACATTTAAAAGGAAGGATATGAAAGCTGTAGAAGAGTTTGTCGGCGTTTTGGGGAATGATGTGTGGAGAAGAACTGTGGTGTTGTTCACCTATGGAGAGGAGCTGAGAGGAACCACAGTGGAGGAGCACATAAAGAAGAAAGGTGAGCCCCTGCAAGCAGTGCTGCAGAAATGTTACCACCGGCGTGTTGTGTTCAACACTGAATCAGGGGACTCTGATCAAGTAAAACAGCTACTGGAGATCGTAGATCCAATGTAGAACCTTGGTAGTGAATTAAAGAACAAGTACTTCACGCTGAAATGAGCTGAACTTAAGCAAAGACAATTTTTAAAAACAAGTCTCTTAACATCATGGTGAAATGAAGTCAGGTAATCTAAAAAAAAAAAAAAAAAAAAAATCACCCATGCCTTTTCTAGTTTCCTCTCCAAAAGGTTATATTTGATCTTACTTTACAGGGAGAAGAGACCTGAATGATAAAAAACTTATAAGCTCTTAAGAAATTATAGAGGGGCCATGGCAAGCCCTCAAGTTCCCTGTTTTGCAGTTAGACAAGAAGTTGTTTTTATCTGTTTGCACCATCTGAAATACACAAATATGTACTGATTTAGGTTATTTTCTTGCAATGTTGCTGTTCAACCAAGAATCAATCAGAAGAAACTTTCGTAAAGACTAAGAAAAGTCCACCCTTTTGTGTTGATTGAAAAACTTTTTAACTGGCTGTCAATGGCCAGTAGATGGCAACAAAACACCACAAAAAGTACAAATAAATGTTTGTTTTTTTCCCTGTAACTTTAATTGTAACTTATTCAGATCACAGAAAACTTTTTATACAACTTATTATTTAAACAAAAAGGGCAACACAATTTAACCTTCATTATGCTGGTTTCTCCTGTGTAATTTTATCATGAAAATAAAATTTGTATTTACAAGACCGGCATGTTTTTATTTTCTCTAAAACTGCAAGCTATATAATTATTACATAACTTCCTAAGACATTGTGAAAGTAGACTATGTTAATAGGACACAGAGATCACAATTAAATATACATAATAAATATGAATTTAAATCAAAATCAACAATCAAATAATGCTAGTTTATCATATCTGCCCCCCAAAACAAAAGTTATGTGTGTTTCATATGAGAGAATATGGTGCACATTTGTGCCAAAACAAAAACTATTGCTTTGTGAATCTATCAGTCAACTTTAACAGCTACTTGTGCTGGCATTATAGTGCACTGTATTCATTGTGAAATAACACACAGCAACTTAATTTCTGTATATTATGTGTTTCACAAAGCGCAGGGTGTAGGGAAGGTGTGCTCACCCTTCATACACGACAAAAATTGAATTTTTCCCTCTTATAAACTTGAACTTAAACAAGCTCTGCAGCTGCTGCACAGCCCAACATTTGCCCGTCAGAACAAGAGTTTACAAAGTGCCTTGACTGATGAGCAGAGACAAAAAGCACATCATAAACATGTCATATTATTATACATTCCAACATATGTATATAGAACGAATCACAAGGGCCAAACAATAATTTAACCCAAACCCATGATCTTCATGAAGTAAAGCATAAAAACCTACTAAATACCAGAAAACCCAAGAACCTTACAATATTAACTGAAGAATAATGAACACAATAAAAGGGATAGAAACAATAAAACAATGTTAAAAACTACAAAAGGAACAAAGAGAGTGAAAAGCAAAAGGTTGAGATAACAGCAGAAAAGAAAGATAAAAGCGTCGATAGTGATATAAAGTTTGAGGACAAGAGCAGTGAAACAAGTTTGAACAGAACAAAAGGATGCTAAAAGGCAATATCTGGACCTAAATGAAATGAATACAATAACTGGATTAGTAAAAAAGTCAAACAAGATATAGAGTTAGATTTATATTCAGGGAAGGCTTTATACAATATGAAACCATCCTTGTCTGTTTATTTCACACAACACCCCAACTGTTTTGTAATTGTAGTCATAAATGTTTTGTCAGAGGTGAGTTAAACTGAAGATCTGCTGTTCTCACCTGTGGTTGTTGTTTCTCTGTCATTGCTCTTCATCTTGCAACACCTCACAGCATTCAAAAGCTTTGATACGGACCCTTTCCTTATGAAAACATACAGAACCAAGTCTGAAAGTGGACTTAACCTTAAAAGGGTGCGAGACACATAGAAAACTGTGGAGCTGTCCAAACCCAAGTTATAAAGTACTATAGGAAAGAACAGTAGAATAAAAAAAAGCGACACTGTGGCTAAAATTCCAATAATTCTTAGTTTTTCATCAAGAGGGACTGACAAGGAACGAAAGAGGGCCCTGGCAGTCTGGACCAGGCAGAAGATAAGTACTGGGAAGGCCAGGATGTAGGAAACAATGGTGGTTTTTAAAGTTAAGCTATACACAATAGAAACGGTCCAGACCACAGCGCTGACCTCAAGAGAGAACTTGACGCTTCTTCTGATGCGGTACCACAGGGGATGGACGATGACCATGTACCTGTAAATAATTGAACACAAGTAAAATAACAAAGATTACAAAAAGAGACAGTGGCTAAAATGAAGCATTTCAGACAGAGGCTGATATAATGGTATTAAAATACACCAGAGTGAGAAACAGGAGGCTTTTTTTGATCTGAAAATCATGACAAGCTATTAATGAGATAGCACAGAGTCTGAAGAAATGCATAATTCCCCCTTTTTAAAGCAGCATGAACTTCAAACCAGTCAGACCAATCCTTTGTAAATTCCTGTCTGCCAACAGTTTACACACAGGTACATCCTTCCTGTGCTTCATGAATGAGACCCATTGTCTCTTCTCAATTGTATAACCAGAAACACAGAGGTATGTAACAACACACAAACTGATTAGTTATTACCTTTCTATGGAGAGCGACACCATGAAGCCAACACTGGCCAGCACAGCAACTTCATAAAGTTCACTGGACAAGTCCCAATACACTGACGGTAACTCCACGATGAACATGCAGCAGAGTTGAATAAGGTCAGAAATTAGGAGGTTGATGACGTAGATCGCAGCAACAGGATCACTTCGCACCTGCAGGAAAACAGTTTTCAGATTCAATCAGCGGCTTTAGAAATATTCTGTACTCCACCGTCTATTAAATATGTGGTGTTCATTTGTCCAACTGCTCCATTTAACTGTAACAAGGGAAAACAAGATATGTTTCACTTGTCAGTCAGCTGATCTGATGCTGGTATAGAGTTTACTGGCTCAAAAAGTTAGAGTGGGTGTCAGTGAACAAAAAGTTTATAAAAAGTTCAGATTAAAGGTATAATGGGGAGTTTTCACAGACTGAGAACAGAAATTGGTTCAGATGTATCTTTGTGATTTACAGAAACAAATTAGATCATCAGATACAAAGCTAATCATTTCACTGTAATAATTTTTAAACTATAAAACTGCCGTGAAGGAGTCAGTATCAGGTATGCTGCTATTTTACACCGGCACTTTTCCTCAAGTAATTAGTTTTTTTTTTTTCTTGATCTCTCTACCTCTCAAAAACAAAACAAAACAAAAAATTAAAAAAAAACATTAGCTGAATTGAGTCGACCAGACTTCTACAGAGGTAAATATCCAGATTACTGAACTTTGCCAGAACCCTCTGTCCTGATTATCAGATTTACGCTGTAACCAATAGATCACAGCTGCAAAGAGATGAAAACTGGAGAGCACATCTGCAACCAAAGTGTTTTAATAGATACAGACAATCATGAGGACAACATGATTACTTTTGAGTTACATTTCCTTACCATGAAATACACAGAGTAGATGGCCAAAAGGATCAACGGCATGCCAATGGCAACGAAGATGTATGTCGCCACTCTTGAGATGAGTGAACTGTTTATGGTAAATCCTGAAGGATGCCAAAAGAAAGTGGTATAGTTGTCGTAGAAATACCAATTCAGCATGTAGTAACTGTCTCCGTAAGGGTCATAAGTCATGTGGTCATATTGGCTGATATTTTGTTCGGTATAGTTTCCAAAGAAATCCTCCATTCTTCAGTCTGTTGTTTGAGGGATCACTGGTAATAATGGGAAAAGAAATCCTCCTCATTACAAATCATTCATCATATCTTGAAGCTGTAAAGTCAACTAACATTTCATCCTTACTTTAACGGTTTAACAAGTTTAAGCACCCAGGAAAAAGCTCAGTTGTGCCAAACAGAATTAAAACATCACTAAAGTACTTTGAAACAGACTGCAGGCCAGTCAACAGAGCAAAGAGCTGTCCTCAGGTTGACACATTTGTATCAGTCATATGTCTTACCATCACAGGGACAGATAGTTTCATGCATTTAGGGTTAGTATCAAAAACTCTATACAGTAGCTTTAAACATGCCAATACGATATGATTAATCAGTAATCAGACTACTGAAGTTGAGTAATTAATTGTTGTTTTTACAAAATAACTATTTGATGGAATTTTTGTCTTGACCTCTGAGGAATTTGAGTGAAAAAAACACTCTTAACTCTGAGCTGGGGGTAAAAGCTGACTCTGTGTTTGAGTGTTTATGAATGAGTATTTTGTTTTTTTGTTTATTATAGGGATGTTTTGGCATGAATGATGAATGTGTATTTGAATAAATGCAAACATTACCAGCCCACAGTCACGCTTTTTGCTCTACAGTTCAGTTTGAAGAGAATTGAACTCTCGTGCATGCTTTGTGATATAAACCACACCTCTTTGTCTCATTTGCACAGCAGGCACAAAAGACTCTTGTTCCCTTTGTGGGTCAGGTCATGTGAATTTATTTTTATACTGTCACAACAAAAGGACTCTGTCATGGCTCAGATGTAGTCATCACCCAAAAGGTATACACATTCCTGTCATGCATTTAGGGGATTATCAAAGTGTCGTTGTAGTCATAAAGTTGGGGGTAAATATTCTGAACAGCTTCAGTTTTTTCATCCATGTTCATAAATTTTCCTAAAACATAATTGCAGTCTTTTCATTTCAATCAAAATATGAAAAACAATCACTTTGGACTCATGATTTTAATGGTTACAGTCAAACAATCGTTGATTTAACAGCAGCTTTTTCTCCTCCTCTTCCTCAGTCATTAGTTGGGCTTATTAAAACTGCACACAGTCTGGTTGTTAAGTGAGGTGCAAGAAGGCAAAAAAGGTTTGATTGATTGATTGACTTGCTTGATGTTACTTGGGTTATTTATTTATCTATTTATTGTGTAACATGAATCAAACTAATCAGAAAGTCACCTCTCGTTTCCTTTAAGAGGAAGGTGAAAATGCAGGTGTCAGTTTTTACACAGAAAAATTCAGCTTTTTTAACAGATTGGACTCCTGTAGCATCTCAGTTTTTGCTCTGTCTCTCAACATGCAGGATACACACAGGAAACTATGAAATGTGTTGATGATCTGGTTTCAGACAGATGCTTCGTTTACAAATGTCACATTACAATACTCATATTTATTTAACATTCAAGTCTACAGACACACAGTATGTTGGTATGTCACATACCAACATAATGCTACATTAGTGAATGCACAGCTGTTCCCCTTTTTCCCTCTCTTTCAGACGTTGTTTCAAAGTTGTTAAAAAAGTACTCTGAACTGTAGAGAAACATTAAACTTAATGTTCCGTCTGACAGAGGATCAAAACTTCTGCGAACTGCAGTTTTTTTAATCTTGCGAATCATTTTGAGATACAAGAAAAAAAATGAAGCAAAGCTTTTACCTTTTGGGGCTGTCAGACTCGGCCTGGTTGAGTTCCCTGCTTCAGCGTCTGATGTTTGTGCTCTGCTTCCAAACTGTATATATGCTGAGTGATAACATCTAAGAGTGATACTAATCTCTTCTGCTCCTCTAAAGGAGGGAAAATAACACCAGTATATCCAATATAATAAATAAAGTATAAAGTACACCAGAACAGTAGTGTGTGCATGGGATTTTTCCCACATAAAGAGCACAGAATTAGACATGCACATTACAAAGAAACAAAACAAGAAAAGTCAGCAAACGATACACCAATAACATCAATGAATTCTATCCAAATGTGCACACATATAGGTCACACATGTGAACATATCCATATACAGGCTCATACAAATGCATACCTACTACACCGCATATAGTCAACGGTCCCTCCTAAGGAAATTCTCCAATTATGAAAACTATGGAGTCCAAAAATCTTGAACGATATGAGCACAAGTGTGTTTTTCCAGGGTTAATTTTTCTAGTGGGAAAAATGCTGACATCTGATCCATAAAGAGCTTGAAAGTTGGCGGGTAATCATCACCTATTGTTGATTTGTTTTACCTTCAAATCTGGGTTTTGATAGATAGAGGAGTAAATTGACGTGTAAATAGTAATACCGTTTTTGTTTTTTCCCTGCAATCTCTCCATGCTAACAGAGTGTTGAGAACAAGAAACACTTGTGTGTATTTTTAATTTTTTTTAAACTTGTTGATAAATATAAGAGCGACCAGAGGGAGAGGTTCTAAAGACTTTGGGCTCTATTTTCATGCCTCGCCGGAGACATGGCACAGGCGCAGTGTAAGTCAGGTCCGCCGCGCCGACAAGGCGTTCCCAAGCACAATTTAGTATTTTGGTGAGCGGCGCAGCCCGGCATAAGTTTCCCCCCTCCCTAACTCAGCTTCTCCCAGCGGCGAAAGTTGTAGGGAAGGAGGAGAGAGGGCATGGAGTGGATTTAACACAGCCGAGACCTGTATTGACCAATAACATCAGCTCCTCTCCTCGCCTTTAAATCCGTCACTGGCGAGGTGTAGTACAATTTTTGTGAAGTAGTCAAAGAGATCAAGAGATGTCTGAAGACAGTTATGCCACACAATGGTGACAGAAGGCAGCTCCTCAACAAGTGTCACTGTAAGCGCTGCAGAGGGCATCCTCCACACTGTCTCATATAAGCACGGATGGATTTGGTGTGTGTAATGTTGGACCCACTGGTAAGACAAACACCCTTACCCACTGGTGAAGACACTCACATAAAGTTGCACATATTCAAACCTCATATGTATCTATATCTATATAGATCCAAATGTATGTGCTGACTCAGATTATTAGTTGTTGATCATTTGTTGCGCACCACCAAGGATTTTTCAAAACAATCAGAGTGCTGTTGCTTTATCAAAGAATCAAAGAATCCTGTATGTGTATATATACTGTATATATATATATATATATATATATACATACATATATATATGTGTGTGTGTGTGTGTCTGTCTGTGTGTCTGTGTGTATGTATGACAGTATGTATGTATGACAACACAAACATGTTGACATTAAATTTCACTTTGTTCAGTCTGCAATCAGACTGACTTGGCTGCACTGGAGTCTATTTCTGCCTCCTTTGTCTGAAGATTTGAGGACCCAGTGGGTTTATTTTATTTTTGATGGAAATGTACCCAAAACAACTCCAAAAATGTTGTATGTGTGTGCTAACTGGACTGTTTTACTAACGAGGGGCAGTTGAAAGCAGGATTTGCTAGGAAGCTGAAAATAAAACCTGGATCCGTACCAACTGTCTATGTCAGAGACCCAACTTCAAATGTGAAAGCTGTAAGTTTTACAATTTTATATTGCTTTACCGTCGCCCGTATGACTAGCGCTTTGGCTGCAATCGCGTGTGTTTGTCATCGTAGGTATTCGACTTTGGACAGGCGTTCCTCGGGGGCATGAAGGTGGGCTGGTGCTTTGCCTGGAAGTCCTGTGAAGAAGTCCTCAGAAGATCTCCAGACCACCGCTCCTGGACCACCGCAGCTGTGCTGCAGCTCAGAGTGGCCTTGGGGAGGAAGATGTTCACACACAGCTCATTATCATTTCAAGGTACAGGCGCAGAATCACCCGTTCTCAATGGAGCTCAAAAAGAGGGGGGTACAGGCTGGCTGATATCCACAAATAAACAGATGTTTTAGACAAACTTCAAATTTACTATTGTGGGACTGATTTAAACTTGATGAAAAGTGCCATAATAGGGCACCTTTAAGAAATGGCAGCTTCAACACGTGGTAATGGGAATTTAGTGTCTTATGTTATTAGACCTCCAGGTGGTACTGTGGACTATTGGGGTACACACCATAGACAAAATACACGCAGATGCCTCATTACGTACTGAAGTGTACTCCAGTGTAGCCGGCATATTGGTTGAGTCTCCTCACTCTGGGCTCACACCATAGACTACGTGTTCTATATCCATATACTATGGACAACTTGGTTCCGTCTTCTGTACTTAATTGCTCTCAGGATTTTCAGGGTTTTTCTCTAATTCCTGGAACCATCACTTGCGCAGTACCGTTCTAAGCATTCGGCAGGAGAAATCACTGTGATGACGCTCTACTCAAACAGCGTATCTCTCAGATGAGCTATGCAATCTTCATATGTCCATAGGCTGTATCAAGTGTCAATCATAGAAAACATGAACACACAAATAACTTTTGAAAATGGAGCTGTACAGAAAAAAAGAGGACTTAAAAACAAACCTGTTTAAATATAACTTCATGTCAACATCGCAACCAGGGGGGAGAAAAATGTATACTCTGTGTAATAAATTTATAAAGTCTGTCCACAGCTCCATCAAGTTTGCTGGAGGAGATAGGATTTATGACTTTTACTGCAGCCCGTCACAAGAGGGTACTGTTCTCATAGAGGTTTCACCCAGTGAGGAGGCAGATAACGTCCATTCTACAGTCTATGGCCCGTGCTAGAGCCCAAACAGAATCAATGGAGAACAAACAACTATGCCTGTATTTTGTGCACCTAAAAAGCTAACGCAGTATTGAAACCAAATCAAGTAGGATTATATCTCACCAGTAAGACTTAAGAACAGTTTTGGTTGTTTTTAATGTGTGACAGTGTCCTGTATCATAGCTATGTCTCTGCCATTTGTAACAAACCAAACCGTGTGAAAACTGGGAAAAAATTAGGGAGTTATTATCTATATGGTTGGCAGGGCTATCAAGTTTTGAACTAAGCTTGGAGTGTGATTTTTTTGGGGGGCGGGCAAGGGTAAAGAGTGTTTAAAGATAATGTATTAGCATAATTATCTAATAAAGGACAAATTCCTTTACGACTTTTGGGACAAAATAAGGCAACAAGAAAAAAGACATTTGGCTAAAAGGGGCTCCTTGAACAGCACCAGTCATTGGCTGCATTCATCAGCTTCAACCTAAACATGCAGACAGTTTATGTGTGTGTCTACATTTACATGGCAGTTAAAATACAGAAACTTTTTTAAATTTATAATCCAAGCCTTAAATATACTGTCGTTCCTCACCTGATTTCAGGCCTCCACTCCACTCTTCTTTGGCCTATGCAAACCATAATAGCAGCATTCACACACGTGTGGAGGATTACAGCCATAGACATAATATACATACATTGGCCCTCATTTATTGATCTTGCATAGAATACAAAACTCACCACACAGTGTCTCTAATGTGTGACGAGTCTTTTCACTTCTCAGCATGAGAAATGTCATGTGTGGCATGTGACTCATGGAGTACCCATCCCGACACGCCGCGCCGATAAGTGAGTTACAATGAGGGCTCTATGTATATTAGCCTATGTCTATGGTACACACACATCCAAGATGTATTCTGAGTTTTACAGCAGTGTGTTACCAGACTGTTTCTTTGTTTCCACCAAGAGTGAATTTAATTATAATCTCCTCCTGTGTTGCACAGAAACTCCTCTCTGGTGAGATACTACCTTAAGTTTTATTGGGGCTAAAACGTTTCTTTCTTTCATAGATGTTGGCATACAAAATGAACTTGGCTCACGCAACTGAATATTATAATATTCGTATGTGGGCCTGAATCCGGATTGAATATTCACAGAATTTTGAGGATGTAGAAAACATCAGATAAACAGGTAATTTTGAATGAAAGTTTCTTTTATTTTTAAGTAAATAAATCATCTGGTCACAAAGATAAATCATCTGGTCATCCTTACAGCTGCAGCAGCAGGACGGGCAGAGGACACAGACACATGTCCAGGTCGAGCTGAGCGAGGAAGAAGAGGAAGAGAGAAAGGGGGTGGGGGAATGAATTAAATATCTTGTTAACTTCATCATGTGTGACTATTTACTGGATACTTAATTCAATGCAGTGTCAGCTGTGTTAATTCGGTCTGGTGGAGTGTCAAACACGCTCCTCCATATGTATATGTATATTTACCTATATATTTTACCATGGATTTCCGCCTTGGTTCCCTCATGTTGAGGTGTAGGGGATAGGGGTGCAGAGGGTTGGAGGGAGCAGGGGGCATGGGGAAGGAGAGGGGAGCAGGCATTGGAGCAGATGGTTTGTTGCTGTGTGGTTTCAGTGGACGTGAAGATGTTTTCCCTACCCCCAGCTTTGTAAGTTATTGCTTTTGGTTTCCTCTCTGACTGTGGGGATGCCTCTCTCCTACTATCTTACTTTTTGAATAAACAAATAAAAAAATTGATCACAAAAAAACGCAGAAGCCCTAATAACACCTCTATAATGAACAATATACAGAACTCTGACTAGTTGGCTTAAGTATGGAAAACAATAGGATATTGATCTAAAAAAAGGACAAATACAATCTTATTTTGGAACAGACAGTACAACTTAACAGAATGTACAGACAATACAGCTGCATAACATGTATGCAGATGTCTTATCAATTTTAACTGTTTATTGTGAAACAATTGAAAGGAAAATAAACCATAAACACTTACTGAAAAAATTTGTAAAATGACATATTATTTAAGTTGTGAGTTAAATAATACAAATTTAAATCATAATCAATAATCAAATAACGCTAGTTTACCATATCTGCCACCAAAGTCAAAAGTTATGTGTGTTTTATATGAGAGAATATGGTGCACATTTGTGCCAAAACAAAAACTATTGCTTTGTGAATCTATCAACTTCTAACTTTAATATAACAACTTTACATTATCGTTTACTATAGTCATTGTGAAATAACACACAGCAACTTAATTCTGTATATTATGTGTTTCACAAAGTGCAAGGTGTAGGGAAAGTGTGCTCACCCTTCATACACAACAAAAATTGAATTTTTCCCTCTTATAAACTCGAGTATAAACAAGCTCTGCAGCTGCTGCACAGCCCAACATTTGCCTGTTAGAACAAGAGTTTACAAAGTGCTTCAACTTATAGGCAGAAACATAATGATAAAAATGTCATATAATTATACATTATAACACACACACACACACACACACACACACACACACACACACACAGTGTGCTTTGAATGTCTCTGATAAAGTGCTATAAAATCTGATACATTGTTATTATTATTATTATTAATAATAATATTTTTTTTATAAAAACCTACTAAATACCAGAGAGCCCAAGAACTCAACAACATGAACAGAAGAATGATGACACAGTAAAAGGAAGAGAAACAATAAAATTATGTAAAACTACAAAAGGATTGAAGAGAGTGAAAAGCAAAAGGTTGAGATAACAGCAGAAAAGAAAGGTAAAAACATCAATAGTAGTGATGAAACATTTGAGGACAAGAGCAAAGAAACAAGTTTGAACAGAACAAAAAGATACTAAAAGGCAATATCAGGACCTAAATGAAATAAATACAATAACTGAAACAACAACTTGATTAGTAGATAGTTAAACTAAATGTATAGGTAAATATATCAATCAATAAAATACACAAAATAATAAAGATAAAACATAAAATAAACATAAAACAAGGTGTTTAGATTTAAAAAGATGGGATAAAAAACTATTAGTGAGAACAGAGAAGAGGACAGGAGTTTAAGAAGTGACTTAAAAGCCTGATTATAACTTAGTTTGCGTGCCTTTTCATCTGAGGCTGATCCAGTCCAGATCAGATCAGATCACATTCATGCTTGATGATGGCCTCACACTCGAGTCCTGGCAGCTACAGAACTGCTAGAACAGTTTTTAGTTATTAGTTTCTATGTTTTTAAATTAGTTTTTAAAAACATTGAAACTATGTTTTACTTTTTAATTCTGCTTTTATTTTATTCATTGTTTTAATTGTTTTTTCATTGTTTTTTTACGTCTGCGTTGTTTTGTGTATTTATGTACAGCACTTTGTTCAGCTGTGGTTGTTTTAAAGTGCTTTACTAATAAAGTTGAGTTGCATTAAGTTGAGTTATATGGCTAATCAGTGACTAATTATAGCTTAATTTTCATAAGATAATAATTATAATCTTCTAACCTAATGAATTTATTGTCATGAGAAACTGTTTTTTTTTTTTTTTTTTTCATTTTAAAAGAAATCCTCATTGATACACTGCCATTGCTAATGTTTGAACATAAAAATCTAATGGGGTTACAAACAAATTAAATCAAACAAATAAATAACTCAAGAAGGTGTACGTTCCTTTAAGATTTCTTCTCTTGCCCTTTGCTAGTGTCACTGTGATGTTGTTAGTGTTGCTTATTTTTGCATGAGGTCTTAAAAAGTTTTAAATCTGACCTGAAGAATCTTTGGAGAATCCTACAATGCTCCTAAATTTGTCTCTTTGTCTCGCTCACTCTTATCAGTGTGAACCCCACAAGACCACCAGGGGGTGCTAGATACTCCCACATCACTAGAAGATTTTTTTATTATTATTTAGCTTCACACAACTTTTTCACTGTTTTGTTGTTTCTGTAAGAATTTTTAAGGATGACGTTGATAGCATCAAATTTAAAATGAGCATTTATCTTTTAGGAAATAAAATGTTTTAGCTTCATTATTTAAAAATCAGTAAAGGTTTTATACAATATGAAACCATCATTATCTGTTTCACCAGCATTTCACACAGCGCCCCAACCTTTTTGGAGTTGTAGTCATGAATGTTATTCATTTTTTGATTTAAACTGAAGATCTGCTGTTACCACCTGTGGTTGCTGTTTCTGTGTCATTCCTCTTCATCTTGCAACACTTCATAGCGTTCAAAAGCTTGGATACAGCCCCTTTCCAAATGAAAACACACAGAACCAAGTCTGTAAGAGGACTTAACCTTAAAAAGATGAAAAACACAAAGGTGTTTACATCAGGGGTAAATATGAAAATGAAACCAGGAAGAAACAGTAGCGTATACGGGAGCAGCACCAAGACTAAAATTATCATGACCCGTAGTTTTTCATCAAAAGGGATTGAGACAGAACGAAAGAGGGCCCTGGAAGTCTGGACCAGGCAGAATATGAGCAGCAAGAAGACCAGGATGGTGAAAACAATGTAGCTGCCGGACAGGTGATACAGGATAGAAACGATCCAGACCACAGCGCAGCTCACAACAGAGGACTTGATGCTTCGTCTGATGCGGTACCACAGGGGATGGACTATGGCCATGTACCTGTAAATAATTGAACACAAGTAAAATAACACTGATTACAAAAGAAAAAATCAAACTAAAACATGTTTTATTCTGAGGCACATAAAAAAGAAATACAAAGTACTGTATCCAGAGCAAAGCAAAGACAAAGAGACTTTTCCTCCTATAAAACACACAGCAGAGGAAAAGCTATATGAATTAACCAAAGAATTCCATTTTAACTAGAAAAATTAATATCAGACCCAATGGGAGGTTTGTTTTGGTTTCTGGTTCTATTTAAGGAACTACTTTGATTCTCTTGAAAGTAATGCTCCAAGTGCTGACGACCCAGCTTTCATGTCTGACATGATAAGACATGATGTCTGACAGTAAGATTTGAAGTATTAGGAGGAGATTTCAACTGCACCTTTATCACATTCTAGATTTGAAGGTCGAGGTTTGAATGGGCGAGCTTTCAGCGCACTTGACACGCCACTGGCGAGCACGAAAATGTCACTGCACCTGCTGATTCTGTCGACACCTCCCCCTGCCACGCCACCACGCCCAGCTTGGCGGATCTCGGCTCGCCTCCGTGCGCCTCAGTCCACGAAAATACCAAACTGGCCTCACCAGCATACACGAAAATAGAGCCCTCAGTCTTTTAAGTTTTACGCCACGTGTTCATTCACGTTGTTTGATTTTTTTTTTCACATCGTTTTAATCAAAGTTTTGAAACTTCAACTTCTTGCACATAGCAATCAAAAATTAGTCTTTCACTGATTTTTCTTTAATTTCGCAAAGTCATTTTCAAAATAGTTTCAACTGACCATCAAGATTCTTTTTCTTAGTTATCTGCGTGATTGCAAAGTCACCTCTGAACGCCATCCAGCAGGCCCAAAGCCATCCTGTGAGCCTAAGTTTTGTGAGACCAAAGGAGCATCCAAAGGATGAATGGCGCTGGTTTTTGTATTCGGGCCCGAGTGCTATGACTCCCAGCCCATCTTTCGGCTGACTTTGGTTGTCTTCTGAGCAGAACCTCTCGGCTCCATGTACTCCACTGTACTAGTAAGCCAGCCTTCTCTCACTTTTTCACTCTCAGTACATGATAAGAAGCTGTCCTGTGCCAGGCCAGGCTTCCAAGCCACACAAAGTTTAAACAGGTGTAGAAAGGAACTACCTCATGACTGATAGAAGACCAGTTGTTTGTAAATTTCTATCTGCTAACAGTTTACACACAGGTATGCTACATCCTTTTAGTGTTTTATGAATTGGCATTCTTTAATTGTATAACCACAAACACAGAGGTATGTAAGAACACACAAAGTGACAAGTTATTACCTTTCTATGGAGAGAGACACCGTGAAGCCAATGCTGGCAAACACAGCAACTTGGTAAACTTCCAGGTTGATGTTGCCGCGTGCTGACGGTACCTCCATTATGAACATGCAGCAGAGTTGAATAAGGTCAGCAATGATAAGGTTGATGACGTAGATTGCAGCAATAGGATCAGTGGTTTTAGAAATATTCTGTACTCCACCTTCCACCAAATATGTGGGGCTCTATTTTCGTGTCCGGGGGACGCGGCTGAGGGTCGCGGACCCGGCACAGTGGTATTTTCGTCTGGTGGAGCCCGGCGTACAGCCAGTTTGGTATTTTTGTGGTCTGAGGCGCACCAAGGTCCGACAAGCTGGGCGTGGTGGCGTGGCAGGGGGAGGTGTCAACAGAATCAGCTGGAGGAGTGACATTTTTGTGCTCGCCGGTGACGTATAAAGTGCCCTGAAAGCTCGCTGATTCAAATCTGGTCAGCTTTCAGCACAGGCGGAGCGCAGCTGGTCTAGTGGTATTTTGGCAGACCGGCGGTGTATCGGCATACGTCACTGATGCCTCACCGGCAGGTTTCCACAGTGTCAGGCACATTTCAGTGCAATAAATAATCATCAACAACTAATAATCTGAGTCAGCACATACATTTAGATCTATATAGATATACTCTGATCTATATCTGATCTGATAAGCGAATTTGGCACGCGTTTGGACACTCAACCTGGCCGAATCAACACAGCTGAAACCGCATTAAATCAAATTAAATATCTAGTAAATAGACACACATGATGAAGTTAACAAGATATGTAATTCGTCTCCCTCCCTTTCTTTCTTCCTCATCCTCTTATTTCTCACGCAGCTCGACCTAGACATGTCTCCGTGTCCTCTCTCCGTCCTGCTGCTGCAGCTGCGGCAGCTGAACAGATGATTTGTTTCAGTGCTCAGATGAGTTATTTACTTGAAGCCTACATACGAATATTATAATATTCAGTTTTGTGAGTCAAATTTATTTTATATGCCAACATCTATGAAAGAAAGAGCCAGGCTACAGAGCGCGATGCGTCATTTCCGATTTTGATGCCATTATTGGAATTTATGTTGTGATCTGTGCGCACAACCCACCTTTGTCACGTGAGGTTTGAATATATGCAACTTTATGTGAGTGTCTTTTTTTGTGGAAAAGGGTGATTGTCTTACCAGTGGGTCCAACATTACACACACCAAATCCATCTGTGCTTATATGAGACAGTGTGGAGGACGCTCTCTGCAGTGCTTACAGTGACACTTGTTGAGGAGCTGCCCTCTGTCGCCATCATGTGGCATTACTGTCTTCAGACATCTCTTGATCTCTTTGACTACTTCACGAAAATAGTACTATGCCTTGCTGGTGATGGATTTAAAGGCAAGGAGAGGAGCTGATGTTATTGGTCAATACAGGTCTCGGCTGTATTAAACCCACTCCATGCCCTCTATCCTCCCTCCCTACGATTTACGCCTCTGGGAGGAGCTGAGATAGGGAGGGGGGATACTTACGCCAGGCTGCACCGTTCACCAAAATACCAAATTGTGCTTGGGAACGCCTTGTCCAGGCGGCGGACCTGACTTTCGCCACGCCTGCGCCACGTTGCTGGCGAAGCACGAAAATAGAGCCCGTGGTGTTCATTTGTCCAACTGCTTTATTTAACTGTGACAAGGGAAAACCAGATCACTCGCCAGTCACTGTGGTCAGCTGTAACCAGAATATTTAATAGACACAGGCCAACATGAGGAGTACATGAATACATTTGAGTAATATTGTACTTACTGTCAAATACGCAGAGTAGATGGCCATGAGGGTCAACGGCATGCCAATGGAGAAGATGATGTATGTCACCACTGTCAACACAGAGCCACTGTCTCCGTAAGGGTAATCAGTCATGTTGTCATTCTGGCTGACATTTTGGTTGGTATAGTTTCCAAAGAAATCCTCCATTCTTCAGCCTGTTGTTTGAGGGATCACTGGTAATAGTGGGAAAAGAAATCCTCCTCATTACAAATCATTCATCATATCTTGAAGCTGTATAGTCAACTAACATTTCATCCTTACTTTAACGGTTTAACAAGTTTAAGCACCCAGGAAAAAGCTCAGTTGTGCCAAACTGAATTAAAACATCACTAAAGTACTTTGAAACAGACTGCAGGCCAGTCAACAGAGCAAAGAGCTGTCCTCAGGTTGGCACATTTTTATCAGTCATATGTCTTACCATCACAGGGACAGATAGTTTAATGTACAGTGTTGGAAAAAAGTTTGGAATATTTTCTTCAGTGTTTCGTGTAACGTGAATGATCCTCCAACAAACGTGGCTGAACTGACTCAGGCTGTGATCCAATGCTGGCGAGAAATCCCGGTTGAAACTCTTACCAACCTAGTGACTTGCATGCCCAGACGTGTACGCGCATTGTACAATGCTAGAGGCGGTCACACAAAGTACTGACTGTATTGTTGTTATCGTCTTGTTATGTTTGATGTTGCTTTCAAAGATGGTCCACGTATTTTGTGGCAATTTAAAATTACAGCCGTTTATTTATTAAATACCGACTCATGATTTTATGCGTTATTTCAATGGCTTTTTGTGAATCATGAGGTGTCCGTCCTACAATTTTTTGAGAAACAAAATAGTTTGATGTGAATTTCAAAAACATATCACAGAGACCAGGGAACATTAAAAAGTCTTTGAATAAGAAAGCAGCAGACCGCGTTAAACACGAGGCTAGGGTTGAATTGACAAATATTCCAAACTTTTTTCCAACATTGTATTTAGGGTTAGAATCAAAAAATCCATACAGTATCTTTTAACATGCCAGTATGATATGATTAATCAGTAATCAGACTACTGAAGTTGAGTAATTAATTGTGGGTTTTTAAAAAATAACTATTTGATGGAATTTTTCTCTTGACTCCTGAGGAATTTGAGTGAAAAAAAAACACTCTTAACTCTGAGCTGGGGGTAAAAGCTGACTCTGTGTTTGAGTGTTTATGAATGAGCATTTTGTTTTTTTGTTTATTATAGGGATGTTTTGGCATGAATGATAAATGTGTATTTGAATAAATGCAAACATTACCAGCCAACAGTCACACGTTCTGCTCTACAGCTCAGTTTATGGAGAATTTAACTGTCATGCGTGCTTTCCACTAATTATTGTCTCATTTGCACAGCGGGCACAAAAGACTCTTACTCCCTTTGTGGGTCAGGCCCTGTAAATTTATTTTTACAGTGTCACAACAAAAGGACTCTGTCATGGCTCAGATGTAGTTATGACCTGAAAGGTGTACACATTCCTGTCATGCATTTAAGGGATTATTAAAATATCATTGTCGTCATAAAGTTGGGGGTAAATAATCTGAACAGTTTTTAAACAGCTTCAGTTTTTTCATCCATGTTCATCAATTTTCCTAAAACATAATTGTAGTCTTTTTATTTCAATCAAAATATGAAAAACAATCACTTTGGACTCATGAATTTAACAGTCTAACAATCGTTGATTTAACAGCAGCTTTTTCTTCTCTTCCTCAGTCATTAGTTGGGCTTTGCTGAGAAGTGTGACCACCCTTTTGCTGCCAATCTTATCTGTTGTTTTTGGCTGATCAATTTGACAATTAAACACCATGAAAAACTGCACACAGTCTGGTTGTTAAGAGAGGTGCAAGAAGGCAAAAAAAGGTTTGATTGATTGACTTGCTTGATGTTACTTGGATAATTTTTTTGGTGTAACATGAATTAAAACAATCAGAAAGTCATCTCTCATTTACTCTAAGAGGAAGGTGAAAATGCAGGTGTCAGTATTTACACAGAAAAATTCAGCTTTTTTAACAGATTGGACTCCTGTAGCGTCTCTGTTTTTGCTCTGTCTCTCAACATGCAGGAGACACACAGGAGACTCTATGAAATGTGTTGAGACAGATGCTGCATTTACAAATGTCACATTACAATACTCATCTTTATTAAATATTGAAGTCTACAGACACACCAACATGATACTGCATTAGTGGATGCACAGCTGTTATACTGCTCGCATAATGGACACAATTCTGTTTCTAAGTGCACAATATTGTGAGAGAGCATGACAAAAGCCTGCAGTCTGCCTTAATTTCAGATGCTCATCCTTCTATCTAGTTCCTGTCACTCCTTTTTCCCCTCTTTCAGACGTTGTTTCAAAGTTGTTAAAAAAGTACTCTGAACTGTAGAGAAACATTTAACTTCAGTCTGACAGAGGATCAAAACCTCTGTAAACTTATGTTTTTTAATCTTGCTAATCATTTTGAGATACAAGATGAAAAGAAATGAGGTAATGCTTTTACCTTTTGGGGCTGTCAGACTCGGCCTGGTTGAGTTCCCTGCTTCAGCGTCTGATGTTTGTCCTCTGCTTCCAAACTGTATATATGCTGAGTGATAACATCTAAGAGTGATAACATCTAAGAGTGATAATAATCTGTTCTGCTCCTCTAAAGGAGGGAAAATAACACCAGTATATCCAATATAATAATTTAAACATAAAGTACACCAGAACAGTCGTGTTTGCATGGGATTTTTCCCACATTAAATGTGTTATGGTGACAGTGGCAGTGGTATGAAAAAAATCTGTTTTATTTTTGATATAATATGGTGACTGTGTGGAGAAGTATCTCAAATAAGTGAATCCTGCTTTTTTAACACTGTAAGGTTTTAGCTGTTGGTACACCCCTACAAACAGGATGAACGGGGGGCAGAAAGGGTGTAAAGCAGGATGGCAGAATAAAGAGCATGAGACACCAGGTTCAAGAGCTCTGGCTTGTATCTTTTCCTGACACTTCGCACACAAAAACTACCCGAATTGAGTAGGCAGTAGGCAGTTATATTGTGGCACGAAACCGCACAGATAATAGTTGTATTGACGTTTCAGTTTATGCGCTGCTCAACAACCAGTCAGCCTACAAATTGGTTAGCACGTTAGCTTACGCTGTCGCCGCAACTAGACTGTAATGTGGACCTGTGATGTTACATTATAAATACTGCTGTGTTTTCCTTCAGGGACAGATGAGGACACCGAGGGATGGATCTGGTGGCAGGGACAGAACAAGGCCCTGTTCATGGGCAAAATGAACGCCGCCATAAAGGGTTTTGAGTAAGAAATTTGTGTTCATGCACCGTTGTACCGTGGATTTATTTATTGTAAACACATGCTTGAACTGGAGCCGACCGGAACACAAACGTTGGCCAGGTCGGCCTCTAGCTTTGTTGTTATCAGAGCAGCATTCTACGAGCCGCAAACGCTCCACACCACTTGACAGAACATAATATGAGAGTTGCCGACTTGACCGTCATGCCTCAATACCCAATACGTCTTGCTTGTTTTGAGCGTTATGTTCCATATTTCTCTCAATCAGTATAAGTTGTTGCTATTGGTTGTAACAAGATGGGGGAAAAGCTACTGCCTAATGTAGAAATAATATGAATATGGAGAACTTGAGGACACATGATGGTAACTCTGTATGTAAATGGTAAATGTGAACATTGTTCTGACAGTGGCTTGTAGGCACTCACTACGTTCATGTGCCCTTTTGTTTGCCCCTTGTTTGTCATCCTTGTTTAGGGCTTTCATCAAGGAGCATGGGCTGGAGGGCCAGGTGGAGCAAAGTTTTATCAAAAAAAAAAAAGGGAAAACCTCAAACGGAAATATAGGGAGGTATGACAAACACTTCAGTATTTAGGTTTCGCACCAATACAATGAATGCTTATGTTTTTAGGTTTTACGATATAATCTGGTACGATATAATATGTTATTTGTTACGATATAATCTGGCTATGTCAGAGTTCAAACTGTCAGTGTAAAAGGGACCCATGTTATCAGATTATCTTTGTGTGTGTGTCATTTGCCAGGAGCTCAAGGCACCACCAACAGGGGTCAGCACAGAGGGAGGAGCAGCCACTGCTGCAAACTGGAAATGGTTTAATATCATGGATGAGGTGATGAAGGACCATCCCACCATATCACCGCCCAACCTTATCACCTCATCCATGACACCAGCAGCAGTGGCCTCTCCTCCAAATCCAAATTCTTAGTCTCCTCCTGTGAGAGGGAGGAGGACAAACGAGTCAAGGAGCAGAGAGTGGTTCCAGGAGTGGATGAAAGACGTTGAGTAGAGGGAGGATGAAAGGTTGCAGCAAATAGAGGAACGGGAACATCGGGCAGAGGAGAGGGAGAGGCAGGAAAAGAGAGAGATGGAGGAAAGATGGGCAAGAAGAGAGCAAGAGTGGAGCGAAGAAGAAGGAACACAGACAGAAGAGAGCGGAAGTGGAGAGAGTGGATGGATAGAAGAGCAATGGAAGAAAGGAGAGAGAGAGAGAGGAAAGAGAGAGGGAAAGTAGAGCAAGAGAAGAAAGATGGATGGAGCTGATTGAGAGACTGTTAAATTCCAAATAATCAGTTTATTTGATTTTGATCAATATTGTTGTATTTGACTATATACAACTACAATATAACTAACAACAACATTAACTATTCACAATGAATATTATTACAACGCTCAGTAATAATCATGCTCCCTCAGTGCACGGATCTGCTCCTCAGGAACTGATATTGTTGCTGCCATCCGATCCCTGAGGGCGTCACCAGTCTGTTGTGCCGGGTCATGAGCTGCTGCCACACAGTTTTCATCCCCATCAACCTCTTCACTGTCCCCTGGCTCCAAACGTCCCTGTGCCCGAGGCAGAGGTTGTGGAGGAAAAGGCAGTCCACAATGACCTCTGAAACGAAGTCAACCTTCACCTCCAGGGCCTTGAGAAATATAGAGCGCCACCTGGTTTTCAGTACTCCAAATGCCCTCTCCACCACACTCCTGGCCCAAGAATGCCTGGCACTGAACCTCTCTTGGGTGGGATTCCTCAAATGCTCCCTGAATGGGGTGATGAGGGTAAGCGGTTCAGAAATGCAGGAATAACCCCCATCCCCTAACAGGCATCATCCTGGATGAGGGTACAGCTGGTGCACGTACACAGGGCTGCACCTGAGGACCCGCGAATCTTGCACGGAGCCAGGGAAACTGACATGCACATCCAGGAAGCTTCCTTTGTGGTCCACAATGGCCTGAAACTGGACAGGGTGGAACAGTTTTCTGTTAAAAAAGTCTGCTCCAAATTGTCCAGGGGGCATGATGCGAAAATGACATCCGTCGATGCTTCCTGCCACTTCGCAGAAAGCTGGGTGACCAGCCAACTGCTGGAACCCAGCCCCGATTTCCTCCAGCTCATCCCTGTTGGGCAAACGGATGAATCTCCAGAAAACTTGCTGAATGTCGCTGCTGATCCAGTGGACCAAATTGTTGCATGTGGAACGAGGGATGTCGAAGGCCTCTGACATGACCCGATATGTTGTGCCACAGGCCAACCAGTAAACAAAAACAAGCACCTCAAGTGCCTTCCCCCATCCATGGTAATGGTCCCCTTGGAGAAGGTGGATGAGGTGTTCCAGGGAGGGCCTGGTCAACCTGAAGTCCTTCCGCAGGTAACCCCCCTCAAAGTAGAGGCGTACCAGAGGGACATGATGATTCAGCTGGCAATATGGCCCTCTTTCCCGAGGCTGAAAAGAAATAGATGGCATGTGATTGCAATAATAATGATATATATACATACATATATATATATATATATATAAATATATATATATATTTTATTATACTTTATTTAAGTGTCTATTAAAGATGTGTTTATTACAACAAGTTTGAGCATCTTCTCATCTCTGAATGCATCATCAAAGTGGTCACTCATATTAAGCACAGACCTCTGATTAATAAAAATTATTATTGGTAGAGAGCACATGGTTCAGAATATACAAACGGGGGAGTTTCCAGTTGACAATGTATATGTGAACTTTACTAATTCTTACTTGTGGTTGAAAATCCATTAGGAAGTACATAAATGCCCTGAAGAAAAGATGCCTTTGTCTTCTTGCATGGCCGCTTTACTGCCACCTGTCCTGAAGTGAAGTACCCAGTCTCAACCACCTGCAACAAAGAAATACTCCTGGTAGCCAGCCACACTCCCAGGTGTAGCTGATCCCCCTTAATTGCAGCAGCAGTAGGCCAGCAGAAGAGACATAACCTGCCCCGTCCCCCTCTCACGCACTCACTGCCCAATCTCACTTAGCCTCCCTACCCTCAAGTCTCCTCCCTTACCAGTGAAGTCATCATGGCCTTTAAAACATATTTACACAAAACAATATGTACAAGTAACAAACACAATTCAATTGACTTATATACTAATACAGCTTAAAATAAATATCAAATAAACTGAAGAAAATTTAAAGAAGCCAAACCTAAAAAAATATCCCCTCTAACCCGTCTCTCCCTCTCCCCTGATCCCACAGCTCAGCCCTAAACGGCTTCTGGAGTCCTGTGGCTGCATCTTCATGTGTGCACTCCATGAAAACACGTCCACCTCGGAGAAGGATCTCGGAGAGGGAGGACATTAGTAAGAAGTTTCATAAATATGAGACCAAAAGAACGAGAAACAGCTTCCTGTATTTGATGAAGTTGATTTTTTATGATTTTTCTACCTCAGTGAGGAGGATGCTGTCCAGCTCCCTCACAAACACCTACAGTGATGCAAAGCTGCAAATGCCTCAGAGAGCTGTGTCACAGTTTCTGTTTCAGACTGTTCAAAACTGAGAACTTTTTTCTTTAAAGACTTCATGAATAAAGTCATAATTTTACAAGAATAAACTCATAGTATTCCAACCTGTTGAGCAATATTCTTGTCGGTGACAACTTCTGGTAAACCAAAACAAATGTACAGGCCATTTTTTTATATGTCTCATGCTATATTCTATTTTCTCTTTTTATAAATGAAAATTGAAAATTTGTTATTTGACTTTCCCTTACCCTTTCCAGACAACAACAAAAATCAAACTCAATTTTCAAACCTATCAAAATTAATTTCTGCGTTTCTATCATTAAAGAAAAATCTAAGAATCAGTCATTTTTCTATTTTTAACATCTGTTTCCAAACATTATATCACCAAAAGAGACAAAGGCTGTCTGATAATCCGTTTCAAGTCACTCTCTAGTTTCCTTCTTTAAAGGTATATTTTTCTCTGTCATTTGACTCTGGTACTCTTGTTAGTTTTAGTTCAGTTTGGCTCACTGCAGCATCTGCCAGTGAGTGATATTCAGTGTGCAGCTAGCACAGATTGTATGTTGAATGGACGTCATATGCCTCCTGGCTGGGTGAAGCGTCTGTGAGAACAGCACCCCCTGGTGACTGGTTGCAGTTTAGGTCATAAATCCGCCTCCTCGAGACAGAGCTGCAGGCAAACTTTAGAAATATAATTTATCTGGTACAAATTTTTCTCAGACCTGGATGCTGTCATGATATGTTGTCATTGTTAAGCTGATTTGTGTTCAAGTCTTCTTTTTTCTGAAAAAGTTTCACCACATTTTGATATGACTGACAGCTGCCATTCTTCCACAATAGGAACACTGCTAGGACTGCTCAATTGTTGTCTGTTGTCAAACTGATAAAATGAGTTTTTCGGCACTAAAATGCTCCAACTGACCTGCAGGACTTAGAGGATATTTGCGGTTGTGGGTAAGTCAATGGTGTGTTTTGTCTGTTGATTTGTATGTGTGACTGTTTGCAAGCTTTGCTGGATAACCTTACAGCAGTCTAAGTAAAGCTAACACAGTGTGGTCATGAAGAGGCTGCAGATAGCTTTCTGTTAGCTCTGCTGTTATGATTTATCTGTTTAAAAACAACAAGGAAAAAACAATCTTGCCAAAGTGTTGATGTGGCTGAAGGATGCCAGTTTAAGGGTTAAGAGGACCAAGTGCTCATTCATGAGTGAGGAGGTGACATTTCAAGGTCACAAAGACATAAAGAGGGGAGAGGCACAAAAGGCTGTATTGGAAAAGTCAAAAAGAAATGTTGCAGTCAGCTGATGTGCTCTTACATTATGATCCAGAAAAGGCCATCGTGTTATCATGTGATGCATGACCATATGCAGTAGGTGTGGTGCTGTCACATAATTCCCGATGGAACAGAAAGGCTGATAGGGTTCAAATCCCAGACTCTCAATGCAGCATCTCAGATTTCTCTAGTGAGATATCATTGTCCAGATTTGTGAATTTATTCATGTAGGCTGTTCTTAGTTTGAGTTTGATGTTCTATTGGAGATCTATTGGTTTGAAAGGAAAGTAGTAATAACTTTTAATTCAACTTTCACCGAAACAGATCGAGTTTCTAATTACATTCTGGCTGTTAATTTCCACTCTTTATTGTCTTCCATTTAAAATCAACACTTTTTACATTACATTTCAATAAGATGCTTTTAAACTGGATATTTAGTTCATAGTGTTGTGGACTCATAGTCTACACATTCATGCAAAGACTTTCATTTACTGAGAGAAAATAAATCTAGGCTCATTATGCATATTATCTGTGTTGATGTCTCCTAAATCTGTGTGTGTGTGTGTGTGTGTGTGTGTGTGTGTGTGTGTGTGTGTGTGTGTGTGTGTGTGTGTGTGTGTGTGTGTGTGTAGCCAGGTCAGTTAAAATGGCAGAGAACAGTAACATGAAAGAATTCATTTTTCTGTGTACCCAAACACCAAGTGAGTAGAAAGATCCCAGTAGTATTGAGGTTTATTGAAAAATATCCATGTAGAGGAATAAGATACATAAAAATGTTTAATAATGGTTTCATAATGTACAGCAAAGTCCAAGTACAGAGCTGGGCACGGAGAGGCAAAGCTGCTGTAGTGATGATCAGACCAGTGTTTATGGTGAGCAAAGAAACTCTGTTTGGTCACACGTGGTGCAATTGACACCTACCACCTAATACCATTCTTGGAATTGCTGGTTGAGCATAAATACACCAATAAACTGATAGAGGTGGATTATGGATTATTATTTAGCTTCACACAACTTTTTCAATGTTTTGTTGTTTCTGTAAGAACTTCTAAGGATGACTTTGATAGCATCAAATTTAAAATGACATTTTATCTTTTATCATTATGAAACCATCATCATCATCTGTTTCACAAGCATTTCACACAGCGCCCCAACCTTTTTGGAGTTGTAGTCATGAATGTTTTTCAGAGGTGAGTTAAACTGGAGATCTGCTGTTACCACCTGTGGTTGTTGTTGTTTCTGTGTCATTGCTCTTCATCTTGCAACACTTCATAGCGTTCAAAAGCTTGGATACAGCCCCTTTCCAAATGAAAACACACAGAACCAAGTCCGTAAGAGGACTTAACCTTAAAAAGATGTGAATCACAATGAAGTTTACATCAATGTTAAGTGACAAAATCAAAAAAGGAAAGAACAGTAGGATATACGGGAGAAGCACCAAGACTAAAATGACCATAACTCTTATTTTTTCATCAAGAGGGATTGAGACAGAATGAAAGAGGGCCCTGGCAGTCTGGACCAGGCAGAATATGAGCACCGGGATGACCAGGATGTAGTAAATAACAAAGAGGTAAGTAAGGAAATACACAATGGAAACAATCCAGACCACAGCACAGACCACAACAGAGAACTTGATGCTTCGTCTGATGCGATACCACAGGGGATGGACTATGGCCATGTACCTGTAAATAATTGAAGACAAGTAAAATAACACTGATTACAAGAGAAAAAATCAAACTAAAACATGTTTTATTCTAGAGAACTGAAAATGGTGTGCTTTAGAATAAAATGGTGTATGTTTTATTCTAAGCCAGCTCCTGTGATGTGTGTTGGTCATTATCCACAACTTCTGTGGGAAACCTCTGTCCACAGGTGCCAGATCTGCTGCCTGTAGATCAGTAAATACAGTCTGTGCATGTTAATGTGTGCACAAATCTGCACATGGCTTTTCATTCTTGAGCATGCACCCAGCAGCTCCATACATATGCAAACAGACTATAACTGTACTGGTAAGCCAGCCTTCTCTCAGTGCTTCACTCTCAGTACATGATAAGAAGCTGTCCTGTGCCAGGCCAGGCTTCCAAGCCACACAAAGTTCAAACAGGTGAAGATAGGAACTACCTCATTACTGATAGAAGACCAGTTATTCGTAAATTTCCATCTGCCAACAGTTTACACACAGGTATGCTACATCCGTTTAGTGTTTTATGAATTGGCATTCTTCAATTGTATAACAAGAAACACAAGAAACAACACTCATGTAACAACACACAAACTGACAAGTTATTACCTTTCTACGGAGAGAGACACCGTGAAACCAATACTGGCCAGCATAGCAACGAAATAAACTTCCAAGATATAGGCCATTGGTGCTGACGATACCTCAGCTATGAACGTGCAGCAGAGTTGAATAAGGTCAGCAATGATAAGGTTGATGACATAGATCGCAGCAACAGGATCACTTCGCACCTGCAGGAAAACAGTTTTCAGATTCAATCAGTGGTTTTAGAGATATTCTGTACTCCACCTTCTACCAAATATGTGGTGTTCATTTGTCCAACTGCTCCATTTAACTGTGACAAGGAAATACCAGATCACTCGCCAGTCACTGTGGTCAGCTGTAACCAGAATATTTAATAGACACAGACCAACATGAGGAGTACATGAATACATTTGAGTAATATTGTACTTACTGTCAAATACGCAGAGTAGATGGCCATGAGGGTCAACAGCATGCCAATGGAGAAGATGATGTATGTTTCCACAGTCAATACGAAGCGACTGTCTTCAGTAAGGGTATCAGTCATGTTGTCATTCTGACTGACATTTTGGTTGGTATAGTTTCCAAAGAAATCCTCCATTCTTCAGTCTGTTGTTTGAGGGATCACTGGTAATAATGGGAAAAGAAATCCTCCTCATTACAAATCATTCATCTTATCTTGAAGCTGTACAGTCAACTAACATTTCATCTTACTTTAACGGGTTACCAAGTTTTTTTTTATTTTATTTATAATTACTATTTTTTTTTAATGAGGCTGTTTTGCAAAACCATTTGGAAAGTCATTTGTTTCCATTGCCAGGAGGCTTGACAACACTATGGTGAAACACAGGAGCTCATCACATGAATTTAACTGCTCTCCTCTTTTAAATCTCTTTTTAGTACAAAATACTGAGCGCAGAGACTTCAACTATTTATTCACTTTGTTTTTAATCTTGTCATCAAGCTTGTCTCAGTTTTGGACCAGTCAGAACAGACCTTTCTATTTCAAGTCCTGGAGCTGTGGGATTTATCATAAATCCACTCACTGGATAAATAATCCATTGATCTATCTAATTATTCTGTCATGATTTACTCTTGTGGTTTTGTTTTTGTTGTTTTTCCCTTCGTTTGTATTTTCTGTTACATTTTTGGTGTGCAGTTCCCCTAATTTAATTTGACTTGCTGTGTTTTCCCTCGTTCGTGATTGTCTGCACCTATGTCTTTTTGTCTCACCTGTGTCTCATTGCTTGTTACCCTGTGTGTTTTTATATAGGCCTTGTCTTCCTCTACTCTTGGTTGGTTCATTGTCGATGTTGTTAAATTTGCAATGCCTTTTAAACCCAACCTCTAGTTCTTGGGTTTTCACAGTGCCTTTCTGTTTCTTTGGATGGTTTGCTCCTGATGTTTTTGTTTTTTTTTTTGATTTCTTGGACATTTTATAACTAAATTTTTGTTGGACTTTCTCCTTTTGTTTTTGTTTTGTCATAATGTATTCATGTACACATCTTTCTATTTATCTAGGTGTATTTGAATAAATGCAAACATCACCAGCCCACAGTCACACTTTTTGCTCTACAGCTCAGTTTGAAGAGAACTGAACTCTTGTGCATGCTTTGTGATGTAACCCACACCTCTTTGTCTCATTTGCACAGCGGGCACAAAAGACTCTTACTCCCTTTGTTGGTCAGGCCCTGTGAATTTATTTTTATACTGTCACAACAAAAGGACTCTGTCATGGCTCAGATGTAGTCATTACCTGAAAGGTGTACACATCGCTGTTAATGCCTTTGGGGGATTATTAAAATGTCTTTGTCGTCATAAAGTTGGAAGTAAATAATCTAAACAGCGTTAGTTTTTTTCATCCATGTTCATCAATTTTACCAATACTTAATTAAGTCTTTTCGTGTCAATCAAAATATGCAACACAATCACTTTGGACTCATGATTTTCATAGCTACAGTCAAACAATCGTTAATTTAACAGCAGCTTTTTCCTCTCCTCCTCCTCAGTCATTTGTTGGGCTTTGCCAAGAAGTGTGATGACACTCTTGCTGCCAATCTTATCTGTTTTCGGTTGATCAATTCGACTGTTTAACATAATGAAAAACTGCACACAGTCTGGTTGTTAAGTGATGTGCAAGAAAGCAAAAAGGTTCGACTCAGTGAGTTGCTCTGACATGGACCCTGTCTTTTCACTGTCTCTCAACGTGCAGAATACACACAGGAAGAAATCTGTTCATGTTCTGATTTAGATTATATCTGCTGAATTATTCCCACATTAGAAACCATCAGTGTCTTTCCAAATGTAAGACAGATGCTGCATTTACAAATGTCACATTACAATACTCATCTTTATTTAATATTAAAGTCTACAGACACACCAACATAATGCTACATTAGTGGATGCACAGCTGTTATACTGCATTCATAATGGACACAATTCTGTTTCTAAGTGCATTCTTAAAGGACCTGATCATATTAAACTTCCTGAGCACAATATTGTGAGAGGGCATGACAAAAGCCTGCAGTCTGCCTTAATTTCAGATGCTCATCCTTCTAGTTCCTGTAACTCCTTTTCCCCCTCTTTCAGACGTTGTTTCAAAGTTGTTAAAAGAGTACTCTGAACTGTAGAGAAACATTTAACTTCAGTCTGACAGAGGATCAAAACCTCTGTGAACTGCAGTTTTATAATATTTTTAATCATTTTAAAATACAAGAAAAAAAGAAATTAGGCAAAGCTTTTACCTTTTGGGGCTGTCAGACTCGGCCTGGTTGAGTTCCCTGCCTCAGAATGTGATGTTATGTCATCTGCATCCAAACAATGCACGGTATATATGCTGAGTGATAACATCTTAGAGTGATAATAATCTGTTCTGCTCCTCTAAAGGACAGAAAATAATACCAGTATATCCAGTATAATATATAAAGCAACATATGGTGACAGTGGCAGTGGCATGAAAAAAATCTGGTTTATTTTGATTATAAAATGGTGCTCCTAAGTGCGACTGTATGGAGAAGTATCTCAAAAAAGTGAATTCTGCTTCTTCAACACTGTAAGGTTTTAGCTGTTGGTACACCCCTACAAACAGGATGAACTGGGGGCAGAAAGGGTGTAAAGTAGGATGGCAGAATAAAGAGCACGAGACACCAGGTTCAAGAGCTCTGGCTTGTATCTTTTACTGACACTTCACACATAAAAACTATCCAGTCTCAACCACCTGCAACAAAGAAATACTCCTAGGCTGTCTCAATTCAGGGTCTGCATACAGCTGTACTGCTGTACTGTGCACTGGAATACGCTGGGTGATGTGATTTGGCTTTTTGTGAATCGGGACGGTCTACCCTTCAGAGGAGTGGAACCAAGGAGTTAAGATGGCAGAGTGAGCGGTAGGCTTTTTTTGCAGGCTCCGTATTTAAGATTTAAACCCGTCCTAGACATTTATCTTTTGACAAAACCACAACTGCACAAAAAATTCATGAACAACCCCAGAGCCCCAGGAAATTTTGTTTTTTCAAGGCTGACCACGTATACTCTCTGTTTTTTATAACGAGACCGAGATGGCTAGCAACGCGGCTAAAGCTAAAACGCTAACAGACCACGACTACACACCAAGGTCATGTTGACTCAAGTCATCCTTTTTAATCGTCGAAGAGCCAAAGAGGTGTCAAAGATGCCCACGACAGCATATTTGTCTCACAGTACATCAGATTCTCAAGATGATTTGGTTGATGCCCTGTCACCTGTTCAGAAGAAACTCTGCCAACTCCTCAGACGGATCGAGATCATAGGAAAAAGAGGAAGAAAGGTTTCTGTTCTTCTGGATTTACTTACCAGCAAACGGCAGGAATGTGGGGTTCCTCGAGTGAACAGGTACCTTTATGCTAGACCATCTGCCTTTACATGCCTCTGTGGTTCTGACTGCCTTCGACATTTTGCAAAGATCTGTGGTTCAAAAATTCCCGAAACTCTACTAAACAAGAGAGTAGATGGTTTAGCTCTTTCAGGTTAGGATATATTACGACCCTGCCCAGGATGTTTCAAGACCACTGCCATCTTAGAGCAGCGCTTGTCAAAGGTTTTCATTCAATTGTAGTTTTGGAAGCCTGTGATTCACCTTACAACAGTTTTCGTTCACATTTAACAAAAAGGGAACAACTTGGTTATGTCGTTGACTTATTTGCTATATCAACTCAAAATGTGCTTAATGGCACAGAAAAACAATAAGTATGTATCAACACCATCAACTGTATTTATGTCACAGGCTTGAAACTACAACACTACTCAGCCCTATATAGCTGTGTCAAAGAGCTAGTTAAGAGTTATTGAGTTTATATTTTTTCAGTTTATGTGAATTAAAATAGTCTATGATCTAATTTCAGGTAAGTGTTATAGAGAGTAATTAATTTTGCCCATGTATTTTACATGTGTTTTGGTTTATAGCAGTGGTTCTTAACCGGGGTTCGATCGAACCCTAGGGGTTCGGTGAGTCGGTCTCAGGGGTTCGGTGGAGCCTCCGCCACGGTAGCCTGGCTGGGCCATCCTGTTGCGTCAATCACTTGATGTTCCTTCCCACCACAGTCTGGACTTCGGCCCATGGAGAGCATGTCTTCCCGATCAGAAAATAACCGGGCCAATCAGAGACCGTGTAAAAAAACATATACCTATGTCTTGAATTTGGAAAAAAATCATATTTGATTTATCACTAAAGAAGGGTTCGGTGAATGTGCGTATGAAACTGGGGGGTTCGGTACTTCAAACAAGGTTAAGAACCACTGGTTTATAGTTTAACCCTTCTTATCAGCTTGGAGGATCCATACTGCAACTAGAAAAAATGCATTTCCTTGCAGAAAATGCATGGAAATGCTGAGTGCTGAAAGCTGAAAAAGCAATGCTAAACTGCTAATAAAACATGGAGAAAGGTATAAATGTTAAAGCTGTTGAAGGGGTGAAAAAGAAATATAAGTTGGATAATTGTTTAATTGGTTGAAGGACAAATAGTACGAATATGCTTTATAAAAGGAAATTTTATTCATGGCCAAAGAGGCTACAAAAATGTCTAAAATTGAGTTAAGTTGTAGTACTAGAAGTAGTATGATAAGAAGTCAAGTAACGATATTAGTAGTCATGTAAGCAGTAGAAGTAGTTTGAGAATAAAACAAGTATAAGTCAAAGTAGTAGAGAAAGTAGAAATAGTAGCAATAGCAGTTGAAGTAGAGGGCAAAGTACTAGTTTAATTGACATTAGCAGTAGTTGTAGTACTAGAGGTGGGGTTTTGTTTGAAGGATGGAATAATGCATAAATATTAAATAATTTTAAACAGGGAAAATTTAAATAATTAAAAATCCTCAAGTATCAGAAAGTTTTTAAGTATCAGAAAGGTTTGAATGACTTTAAATTAGTTTGAAAAATTAAATAATAAATCATCACTGAGTGACTTTAAATGTGAAAAATTTAAATGAATAAAAATCCTGAATACACCCCATAATGTCTTCAATGAGCTTAAATTTTAAAGCCCTGAATGGTTTCTGTAGGTCAAAGTTCATGGGAGGAGATAGGGGCCGAAGTTTGTCAAGCGCTCTAGTGAAGGGTTTTAAATGTAAC